TGGTTGCGGTGCTCGCTGCCCTGCTGCTCAGAGTGAGGCTGGCTGGGTGGGCTTGGCCTCCCTCAGGGTCCTGGGAGCCAGAGGCCTTCATTCCCCTCTGCTGAGGGCCCGGCCTCCTCTGTCACCGCCCTGCCCCCTGCCTGAGTCTGGCCTGCCCTGGTGAACTGGGCCCAGCCTCCCTGCCTCACCCCTGCAGGAGTCTCTCTTCCCAGCCCGAGTGGTCTATGATCTCCTGTTCTTCTTCATTGTCATCATCATCGTGCTGAACCTCATCTTTGGGGTGATCATCGATACCTTTGCTGACCTGCGCAGCGAGAAGCAGAAGAAGGAAGAGATTCTCAAGACCACGTGCTTCATCTGTGGTGAGGCCTGGTTCCTGCCCCCTGGGCTGACTGCACGTGGTGTGGGGGGGCATGGCAGCCTCAGTCTGGCCCTTCCCAGGTCCGCATGGCCACCAGAGGGCCCTGCCCTGGGGCTGGTGGCTCCAGGACTTTTTGCTCAGGCCAGACCTGAGGAGAACAGGACCCTGCCTGAACTTGAGGTCATAGAAGGGGTGGGAAAGGGCCTCAGAAAGGCCCTGAGAAGGGCCTTCTCAGTTTATGGAGGAAACCCAGGCTCTCTGACCCCTGTTCCAGGGCTTTTCCCGCTCCTGCTATGAAGTGCTAGTGGCTCACCACAGGCTAAGGAGCAGGTTGTCACCTGTGGGACAGACCCTTCTCGGCCATTCCTGCCTGCCCAGCTGCTGGGAGCACTGGCTGCCCTGGGCCTCTGTCCCCAGGTGGAGGGCTGCGACTGTGGGGGCCAGGGGGGGCGTCACTCACCTTCATTGGCCTGTTAGGCCGAGGACACACACCCGCTACACACCAAGAGGCGGTGTCTACTCCACCAGGTGGCCCCACCTCGGCTCTCTGTCCTCACTCCCCCTCTGCACCCCCACAGGTCTAGAGAGAGACAAATTCGATAACAAGACAGTGTCATTTGAAGAGCACATCAAGTTTGAACATAACATGTGGAACTACCTGTACTTCATTGTGCTGGTCCGAGTGAAAAACAAGACGGACTACACAGGGCCCGAGAGCTACGTGGCCCAGATGATCAAGGTGTGACCCCCCGGGGTGGGCGGGACAGTTGGGCACGCTCGTGGGGATGCCATCCTCACCAGGGCCCCGCCAGCTGCCTATGCTGCCGGAGGGGACTCCGAGGTCTTCTGCTTGGGCGCTGTTGTCCGGAAAAAGCCCACGGCTGACCTGCCAGCCCCGAAAAATGTGCATGGTGTCCCCCAGGGCCTGTGGGTGCCTGAACCCGAGGAATCCGGGGAGCAGGGGCCGCCGCCCCATGGACCATCCTCAGGGAGCCAGCTCGGCAAGAGGAAGGGCAGCTTCCCTGAGCTTTGTATGGTCAGGCTGAGACAGCGCTTTTGGAAAAACTTTGAAACTATCAGACCTAGGAGGAATCAAAGTTAATCTGTCCAATTTCTGTAGTGATGAAGGGAGGGAAGGCAGTAAATTAAAAAAAAAAAAATCTTGCAGTATTTTGGGGAAATGAAGCCCATCCATTCCATCAAATGTAGTACATCTTCAAATTCTTGCACAATGGATAAATTGCAGGCTAAGAGAAAAGACGTATTTAGCAGCATGGCAGGGGCAGGGGACGGGGGGAGGGTTCTATTTGTTTCTTAAGTCTGTAATTTGAACAGATCTTTAGTATAGGTTTATCTGTCAGTCTGAGAACTCACAGCTTGTGACAAGGGGCCAGGAAACTGGTGGTCTTCTCCTGTGCCTCCTCTGTCCTGGGAAACGTGGCCTTGCCTCTCAGACACGTGTCAGATGCCAGCTGTCCTCGGCAGAGCCTCCTGTCCCTCAGCGTGCCATCTGTCTGGCTCGCAGCTTCCTGGGGTGTGGGGCGTGTAGGGTGGGGTGGGGCGGAAGGGAGGAAGGGAGGGAGGAAGGAAGGAGCTTCAGGACCTGATGCAGAGGCCCCCCTCCACCTCTCGTGGGGTGTGAAGAGAGTAAACAGATGGTGTCAATACCAGTGGGACTTGAGGCTGTCTAATGGAAGCTGGCATGTCACCACGCTCTGGCCTCAACACCCCATTGAGGGTTCACGGCCAGCTCTCTGGCTCCGGGGAGGACCCCAGTCAGTCCAGATTTTCCCGTGACATATCCCTGGGGAGCACTTTGTCCAGGATGTGACAGCAGGCTCCCCCTACATTACTGCTTCTATAAACAAGGCCTTCCGAGGCCAGGCCCAAGCTTGCTCATCCTGCCCGGGATCTTTTTCAGAACAAGAACCTGGATTGGTTCCCCCGGATGAGGGCCATGTCACTGGTGAGCAATGAGGGGGAAGGGGAGCAGAATGAGATCCGGATTCTTCAGGACAAGCTCAATTCCACCATGAAGCTGGTGTCGCACCTCACTGCCCAGCTCAACGAGCTCAAGGAGCAGGTGTGTACCCAGGCCTACGCTGGCCCCACCCTGGGGTCCCACACTGTGCAGCTCCAGACCCTCACTGGGAGGTCGCAGCCCAGCCTGCCACGGCGGGGAGGGGAGAGTGCTGGGACCTTCACATTCCTTCCTTTCCTTCTTGGGTTTGGGGTGGAAGACAGGTTTGGTACGCTTTTCCCCCCGTGGAAAGCTAGACTGGGGTTGGCAGCCCCTGTGTGTAAGCACCCTGAAGGACATGGCCGAGTGGAGCCTTGGTGCTGTGTGAGGGGTCCTCCCCCTTGCCCACCCCTTACCCTAGAAGCTACTAGGGAGGCTCTCTGAGGGGTTCACCAGTGACTGGGGAAGTCAAGGCATCCTTCCACTTCTCAAGACCTCCTCTTGCCTAGAACACCCTCCTTTCCAGCTGGCAGTGGCTAAGTGGCCTTAGGCAGTACCTCTTTTAGGTGGGGTGAGGGGGCTTCCCAGTTGCACATCAGGGGTTTGCGATGCACCAATTAAGGACAAGGGTTTGGGGTTGACATCCTCCGTGCACCCTGGGGGTAGGGGTGGGGGCTTGGCCTGCTGCCAGTGCTGAACAGCAGCTGGGCCCAGTGGGCAAGAGGCTGGGCGGTGAGGTGGTGGGCGGGCGCTGAGCAGCCCGATCCGACCCGCGGGCCCCCATCTAATCCTAGATGACGGAGCAGCGCAAACGCAGGCAACGCCTGGGCTTTGTGGATGTCCAGAACTGCATGAGCCGCTGAGAGCCACCCGAGGCCCCGACAGGGGATGGTCATCCCGGACAGTGTGACTGGAATGCTGCCCTTCCCCATGGGTCGGGTGGCGCCAGCCCACTAGCCTCGCAAGGCCCAGTGCCCACTCGGCCCCTGGCTTCCACCCTGCCGGACACCGCCTGGACACCCCCGGGCCATCCCAGGCTCGGCCAGCACGGAGTGGGGAGCCACAGAGCTGGCAGTCCTGCCTAGAGCTGGAGAGACAACTAGACAGTCACTGGGACTCAGCTTACCCTAATGCCTTAGAGGAAGTCTCCGGAAGGACTGCTTTGTCCCTTAGAACAGTACCTGACATTCCTGTGTTCCTCCTCGGGGGTCGTTAGGAGTGGGGTCACCTCTTTATTCTAAGCACTACATTTGCTCTCTGCCTGCCCCCCCCCCGGGGGGGTGGGTGCAGTAATGCTGTTGTTGCTAGTGATCTTAGGGCTTCGTTATTTAACTTATTCGAGGGTGCCGTGTTCAACCCTGGCTGCGGCTGCAAGGCTCCCCAGGCCTCAGATCTGCTGTAGACTGCACGGAGACCTTACTGTCCAGGCCATCCCTCTGGCCCGGGCCCAGGTACACTGGTGACCTGAGGACAAAGAGCCTTGCTCCTGGGACCTGCCTCTTCCTAGTAAGCAGCTGAGAAGAGTTGTTGGCCTAGATGACAGGGCAGGGGTGTGTTCCAGTGGCTGGTTTTTGACTGCTTGTTTTATCTCTTGGTGTAACATTTTACAAATCCTTTGGCCTGAGAACTAATATGGTAATTGCCTTAAATAAATTAATAGAACTCTAGTCCATTAGAAAGGGATGTGGTTTCCGACACTCCCCAGGGGCTGAGGGGCTTCATGTGGCACCCAGGCAGAGGACAGGTTCTGACCCCTTGCCCCCTGGCCTCACCTCACCTTGGGCTCCTGGTAGATGCCCTGGGTGCATCCTGTCTCGCAGCAATTCCTGGAGAGCTGTACTGCACTGTGACTGGTTTGTATTTTATTGTATGTATTTCAAAGCATACTGAGGGGTACAGATGAGGCTAAGAACTCCCCTGCCCTTGTTCCCGAGGGGTGCTGTCAGCCCCTGCCCTACACCTTCTCTCAGCTCTGTCCTTAACAGAAGAAAGCGCAGGTGGGGGACCAAACACTGAATACAGAGCTAAGATTCCATAGTAAGGTGACCCTGTGTGTGGCCCTGGCTCGGGGGCTCTTCTCCTGTGGCCTCCCACAGAAGTTGCTCGAAGTGCTGAAGCTGACTGCAACCCAAGGCCCCGCTTGGCCAAGGCCCATCCGAAGCCCTGCCCTGGCCTTTAAGCCAACCTGGAACAACCTGGTTTTCCTGCAAGGTCAGGGGCAGGGGACTGAGCTGCATCCTCCTGAATCAGTGGGAATGAGGGCCAAGTGGGCTCTTCTCATCTCTGCCATCTTTCCCTTTGCAGCAGGATGCCTTCTTCAATATTTACTGCTATTTTTGGCTCTCCCCCAGGAGCTCCTACAACAAAAGGGAGCCTGAGAATCTTGCCAGAAGCCAGCCAGACCCCCCAGCTGGCAGGTGGGGCTCCCGTGGCTGCTCAGGAAGCACCTTGCCCAGAGGTCCCTTCACCTTCCCTTCTCAGGCCCAGACAGAGGCCCCCATTTCCTCTCCTCTGGAGACTTCCCTACCTGACCAGTGGGCGGGGTGGATGCTCAATGGCCTCCCTTCTAAAGAAGGCAGAAGCTAAAAAAAAAAAAAAAAAAAGAAGGCAGAAGCTTCCTTTAGAGGCGCAGGGGCTTCCTTTTTGTGAAGGCTGGTTAAGATTCCCAAACTGCGAGGATGGGGAAATCAGGACAGTTTTATTTATGATGGCAACATACAAGACTCCACACTTAGGTGTGCGGGCGAGACAAGGACCGAGCCCAGGCCTTCTGCTTCTCCTCGGTATTCCTGGGGGCAAACTTCTCCTGTAGTTTCTGCCACATTCCTTTATTCATTTCCTTAAACTCTTCCAAAGTGTCTGTAATAGGGGAAGACAATAGACTGCGTTTTACAATTCGGTGATGTCAATTGGCCCCAGAGGCTTTTGCCATCCAGATATACCTTGATTTTCACACTGTGTGTTCCTAAGAGAGGGAGTGCGGCCCCAAGTTCTGATAAGCAAATCAGATGGGCTAAGAGAAAATCACTGCTCGTATGGATGGAGCACTTGCATAGCAGGCACCGTGCGAAGCACTCTGTACCTCTCGACGGCCGGTCTCTGCCCCCATCTAAGCTGGGGCCCCTGCTGCCTGGTTCTGCAGGAGCAGCAAAGAAATGGCGCTGCCATGTCAGCGACACATCCTGCAGGCCCAGGGGCCCAGAGGCTTTCACTCAAAACTTGGCCTGTGTCACATAGACCTTACCGTCTCCACTTTGCAGATGTGCAAATGGAGGCAGAGGGAGGTGAGGGAATTTGCTCAGGTCGCACAGCTCAGAAGTGGTGGAGCAGGGTGGGTGTGGGTGTGGGGGAACAGACCTGGGATGGGATCCCCACCAATCATTTCCTCACTGGGAAACAAATGATTTAACCCTGTTAGCCTCAGGTTCCTCATCTGGAAGGTGGAGATTGAAACTCCTGCCTCAAAAGTTGTGGACCGAAGGAAATAATAGAAGAATGTGTTGGCACCCAGCCTGCACTCAAGAAGAGGTGGCCAGCTTCATAGCTACGAAGGTGGCAGTAAGCTGGCCCGCAAGACCCCACAAACACAAACACACTCACAATCCACAGGCACCACAACCAACTCTCTCAGTCTCAGCATTAGTGACCTTTTGGGCCAGACAATCCTTTCTTGTGGGGCTGACATGATCATCGCAGGATGTTTAGTAGCAACGTGGCCTCTAACCACTAGATGTCAGTAGCAGCCCCCTACCCGGCCCCTAGCTGTGACATCTAAAAATGTCTCCAGACACTGTCACATGGCAATGTGGCAGTTTTGTCATCCCTCCCACCCCCCAACCAGTGGAGAACCAGCAGTCTAAAGTCTCTCCAGGGCTAAAGTTCTACACTACCTAATTTTATCTGTATTTTAAATTTAGATTTTCACACAGTATTGTTTAAATTTCAGCCTGGATTTTCATGGGTTAATGAAACTTCTAGAGAAAAAAAGAATAGCTTTTAGGAACAAAAAGGCAACTTAGATTATCATCAGTGGCCTCTTGACTAAATCAGGACATACACTACTGCAGCCAGGAGCCCAACATCCCACCCTGAAACCTTCCCAGAAGTCCAGGTTTCCTCAGGGGCACAAAGTGGGATGCTGAGGGGCCCCATCCATGTATAAGCCCTGAGGCCTCTTTCAGAGGCACCCATGATCCCAAGCCCAGGTGAACACACTTGGGCCCCAGACTCGCCAGGCCCTCAAACACTGTAAGGTGTGTAATCTTGCCTTGTCAGGGAAACAATCAGTAAGCCTATGCCACATAGTCACAACAAAATATGAGGCTTATCGTGAAAACAAATTATCAGCAAATTTCCTGGAGCTGAACTCCTGGCCAAAATAAGCTGCAGCACAGGATGATAGTGGGGAGTCTGTTGTCCCCCCAACTCACAGAGGGGTCCAGACCCTGACAAAGGGGATGGAGGCCGGGATTCTGGAACTTATTTCCATTCTAGTTTCAAGCCCAAACTTTGTTCAAACCCTTTGGGGCCCTCAAGAGTGACACAGGGCATCAATGCAGGTGGTTATGTGGGCCCAAGAATGGGAATAAATTTATGTACGTGTTTTAGAAAATTGTTGATAAAGTAATTCTGCTTGGCCAAAATATCTTTACCCCAGTTTTCCAGAGTACTGTAACAAAAAGAGGATCAGAGTTGACACCACCAGGTTTTACCTGTTCAGAGGGTAAGCGTTTTCTAGAAGGCCAAATCCCCAAAATTTAGTTGCTAAAAAGCTGCCAAAGGAATAGGAAAGAGAAATTTCCAGAGTACCGGAAGGCAAATGTTTCAGGGCTATGCCCTCCGAGAAAAGGTTAGCCTATTTTTGTATATGGTAGCCTTGGAAATACAAATCGTAATTTTCCAGAACTTGCCTACTTTAACCCAGGCTCCAACTGTCACTACCCCCATCTCTTCCTTTGGTGACAGTGGAGATGGGGAAGTAAGGAGGGGATGGCTAGGCAGGGTATTTCCTTTCCTGTTAATTGAAGTCTGTCAACAACTCCCAAATGTACCTAGTTAAACCCATATCTAACCCACAAACCATGTCCCCTGGGTCAAAAAACTCTTCGACGATATCCCTGTACAAGTTTATTGAATACCTTTTTGTTTTAATTAAAACCCTCATTGTTTATAAAGCTCCCTTAGGACCATAAAAATAAAATTATTTTCCTTCCATCCTGATTTAAACTACTTCCATTTTGCAAATATGTATTCCCCTGTTCCTTGCTGCCCAGCCTTGAATTTAAAAGCTCTAAAGATGGATTTTCTTTTTTTAAGTAATGTCTTTGGCCTTCTCCTTATTCTATGGCCAAAAAGCATGCCCTGAAGCTTCAGAATTTCCTCTGGGCTATTCCACAAGACTTTCCATCAAGCAGAGCAATCTTAATAGACAATTCCCCTTGGCTGCTCAAACTCAAAGAATCATTTGCAAACCAACCAGAAAGGGGCAGCAGGGCTGTCAGTACCTGTGGACAGGATCAGCTTGTACTCTTCCACAGACAGGCCACTGAAGCTCGTGTCTCTGGGGCGAGGGTACTGGTCACATGGGGAGAGAGAACAGAGGAGAGATTAGTTCTGCACACAACCTGAGACCTGATGAACCGGGAGAAGCCTTGCTCTCCTGGCACGGTTCACCAGAGTGGGCCTCTGCAAACCAGAGACTGGCTAGAAGAGCAGCGCCACCTAGAGGTCAAAGACTTGGCTTTGCTTAAATGGACCCAAGAATCCTGCTTGTGTGATTCGTGTCTGGGTTTGGCCCACGATTCTCCACTTCTAACCAGCTCCCCAGGGATGCCCACACTGCTGCTCACAGACCCCACTTTGAGTTGTGAGGATTTAGAAGAAATCCCTTTTCCCTGCAGGCTAGGCATTTGGCTGTGTATAACTCTGGAGTTACTCAACATGCTCCAGCTTGGGGAAAACCACATTAATGGAATTTGACAGTAATCATGTCAGGGCTGAGGAAAAGCCCAGCTTTGTCTGACAGGACTTTCCCGAAGCATCCCTCTTTATCACCAGTGTGGGGAAATGCCAGCTCCATCAGAGTAGATGGGAAAATATGGGTATGGTCCAACAATTGTCAGATACACCCTGAGCATACAATGGTCTATAAAACACATGGCTTTAGTTCAAAATTATAAATAGCTTTTATTTAGGTGATCTAAAAGCCTCTACCAGGTGCCTCTGTTAGTTTGGTTGAAATTACTGGTTACATTTGAAAGTAGCAAAACCCCAATTCTTTACAAAGCACCACAGAATCAGATTTTCACTTACTCTCATTGGTCCTTTCCAGTAGGAGGGCTGGGGTTATAAGAAAGACTGGCCCACTCACCTTGTGTTTGTAATAGTTTGAATGGAGTCTTGCTAAGCTCTCATACATCTGATCACAGGCCTCAGGTTCTGCAATCTGAAAAACAAAGAAACCCCTCATGGAAGTGAGCAAACAAGCCCTGCCTCCCACAAGGAGGGTCTGTACTTCCAGGATGGACCCAACTAACATAAAGGCATTCAAATGAAGCAGGCCTGCAGCTTAGCACTAGCTTCTCCACTCTGTGGGAAGCAAACTTGGCCTACAGCTCCAGTTATTAGAAAGCTATTAGAAATCACCTTTTCGTAATGGCTCCACCAGATCAACTCTCCAACCTTCAGAAAAACTCCATCAATCAACTGGCAAACAAACATCAGTTGAGCACCTGCATCAGGTACTCACAGTTGAGCAGCTGTGACCTGTGGACTACTACACCGGCTGCAGTGGGAGCCACCACAATGAAAATATAGTATCAGGAGGGTGAACCTTTTGGCGGTGTGGGCTGCAAGAAACTGGAGGGGGGGGGCATTCGTGTGCTCAGTGTATGACACAAATGACACTAAGCTGGATTCTGAAGGATGTACAGGAGTTGGGGAGCAGAAGGGAGAGTGCAGACCCTCCTGGTGGAGGGAGGGTATGAGCAAGCGGAGGCATGGACACTATCTCAGCTTTAGACCAGTCTGGCTGAGGGCCTGATGTGTAGGTAAGAGCCTGGGTGGGAGAAAGAGCAAGAGCTTTTTGAGTTAAACCTTCAATACAAAATGTATTAAATATTCTTTTATGAAAGGCAAAATAAATTGAGCTTTCATCTGTGGTGAGCCATTGCAATTTTACAAGGAAAGAAACATGAAGAAGGCTGTGGTTTAAGATCAGATAGGTGAACTGAGGAGAATCCAGAGGAGAGTCCAATTAGGTCCTGCTAGAAAGGAGAGGCCCTGAACACTGATGCCATGCGAGGAGGAGAAAACCAAGAGATACCCTGGTGCCCCTGCTGGAAATTGCAGGAACGGTGGACACACACAGATGTGAGGTGGTTTTTCCCTGTTCATCTCTCTTTTTAGTTATCCCTTCCTTCTGCCCTTGCTATTATTTACCTACTATTCCTTACATGATTCTGCCAAGAATTCTGAAAGCTCCCCAGAAAAAAACAAAACAAAACCCTTTCTCTTTTATGTTTTTCCCCAGAATTCAAATGATGGATTTTCCAACTTAAATCCTTTCTTGAAGAAGGCAAAGCATAAATAAATCAGTAAAGTGTTTTAATAAGGCAGCTCTGCTTCTGCCTCTGTGCATGTGTCAAATGAGGTTCCCCACTTCAGAGCCAACAAAAAAAGACAATCTGTCACGTAGTTTCACTTGATCCATCCCTGGGTTCAGGCCACTCATCACGAGATTGCTCAGGTAGCCACATCAGAAAAGAGAGGATTCTGGGCTGAGGAGGTAGCCAGCGTTCACTGAATAACAAAGGCATTACTTGGGTGGACTGGTGCTGTGGACTAAACAGAAAGAATGGATGGAAAAATATGAGACCAGGACTGGGTTCTGACCCCTGCAGGACAGCTTTTCTCGAGAGTGGGGTGTGGGTGGGGTGGGATGTGTGGGGGGATGTCCAATTGGAACAGAATTCTGCAGCTGGCACTTTGGAGGAAAGCATTTTGAACATTATGGTTTCAGCAGAGCATGCAAAACTGCGAGCTAACACGGAAGCTAGGAGAACAGAGGGTATGAGACACAAAAGGAAAAGGAGAAGAATGCCAGCATCAAGGTTTAAATATCATGTCGGTTATCAAAAGAAAATCAAGCATTTTTATCTTCTGCTTGTGGCTTTTATTCTTGTGTAAACGAGTTCACTTACAAATTTAAAAATCACGGGCACCTGGGTGGCGCAGTTGGTTAAGCATCTGCCTTCGGCTCAGGTCATGATCTATCTCAGGGTCCTAGGATTTAGCCCTGCATCAAGTTCCCTGCTCGGCAGGGAGTCTGCTCTCCCCTTCCATCTGTCCCTTCCCCCCACTTGTACACACCCTTTCTGTCTCAAATGAATAAATAAATAAATAAATAAATAAATAAATAAATAAATAAATAAATAAAATCTTAAAAAAAAATTTTTTTTTAAATCATGCATCCAGAACCTGCAGCGTGCTAGGCCTGCAGGTATGTGCAGGTCTCCATGGCTGTGAAGAGCAGTGGAGTTGCACTGCCTGGCCTGGAATCTTGACTCCTTCACCTACCAGATACTGGATGCTGGGCAAATCACACTCTCCCCCTACCCCCCACACTTTAGAAAAAAACTGCCACATTTGCTTTATCACACTCCATCTCTATATACATATTTTCCTTCTGATCCATTTGAAAGTTGAAGCGTGATGCTCCTTCATGCCATAATATTTCAGGATGTTTCCTAAGAACAAGGGCATTCTCTTATATAACGATGGTTCAGTGATCAAATTCAGGACACCTGACATTGATGCAACACTTTTATCTGGTTCATCATCCATATTCCAATTCTGTCAATTGTCTCAGTAATAATCCTTATAGGAAAAAAATATTCTGTTGGCCTGGCATCACCCATGGCATTTATCTATCGTACATCTTTCTCCTTTCAGCTGGGACAATTTGCCAGCCTTTGTCTTTCAGGCACCGATATTTTTGAAGCACACCTGCCAACTTAACCTTTCTTTGAAAAGAATAGATAATAATAGTCCCTATTTCTGAGGGCAGTGCGAGGAAAAAATGAGGTAATGCCTGGACTGCTCTGAAGTTGGGGCCCGGAACACTGATAAACATGAGTGATTCGCTTTTCTTAGTATTATTGGTAGTTAACAGTTGTAGCAGGCCTCCACCTCACAGACTATGAGGGGAAAGAGTAGAACCATTCAGGACAACCCTGGAGACAGGTGATTCTGGGGCAGGCGAATGAGGGGTGCTGTGGCCGCTGGCCAGAGTAGACCTGCCAGCCAGAGGGTCATGGCTGAGGATGAGCAGCAGCTACCAGAGGGAAGTGGGGGCTCTCCAAGCACAGGGCCAGTTAAAGCACATGCCCAGGGAAGAGGCAATGAGATAATTCTGGGCGGATCAGTGTTGCTGGTGTGACCACCGGGCTGTGGCTAGGCATAGAAGTAACAAAGCTGTGGACAACTGCCCCATCTGACCATGCCACCGGCTCTGACCCTGTTGGCTCCCTGCGGCCACCAGGCACCCCACAGTTAGGTCGGTGGGGATGAAACTCTGATCCTTGGGTCTCTGCCAAATAAGCAGTCAACTGTGGCACCTTTCTCACTCAATGGGTTGTTTGTCTGGACCTTCCCCCTCTACCACCATCTGACCACCTTCCCAACCGAGGTCTTAGGAAAGGCATTCACACCTGGGATTTGCCCTCCTCACAGCTCTGCTGGGCTCCCATCACTGCTGTCAGGCCAGCAACACAGCGTTTCTTGATCAAACCCCCAATCTGACCAGCTCCTCGCCCTTAGAAATCTTGCCCATGCAAATTCCCCTCCTGCTTCTCCTTTGACTTCTCTAACAGTGAGAATTTACCATGGGTCTACTCAGCTCAGCTACCTACTATACCCTCAAAAGGGTGAGCAGGTGTCCTCTTCCTTCCTGTCTTTTAGTATTAACGACACAGCCTCCTAGATATCTTACATGATGCCTGATGCTCCATTGACAATCCAAGAAGGAACCAAATGCCTAACAATAACCAATCACCAAAAAATCACCCAACTTCTTATTTGAGGTCAGAAGGTGTCTGTATGAGGCTGTAAGCACAGCTTGATGGAGGTGATGAGAACCACACATGCCAACTTCTAGCCACTTGTTACTGCCAAAGGGCAGAAACAGCCTTGGCCAATTCTGGGTCCTGGGCACATCCAACCCCAAGTTCAGCAATGAAAACAGTCTCGTTTACCACTTAAAAAGGTATCAATAGAAATATCTAATTCCAGAAACCTTGCCACACTCCTACATCCTACACTTTATTCACAGACTCTGGCACAAACGTTTCTGAATTTTGAAATATACAGTTTTCCTGATGAAACGTACTGTGCACTTTTAGAAGTATTCTTATATACAAGCTTTAAATTACCTGATTTTGCATTCACACCTAATGAGATTATGGACATTTTAGGACTAATAGCAGCTCTGGGTTTGAAAAAAGGCAGCAGTGGGACATTATGAAAAATTCAGCTCTGCTCCTTAAATGTGAATAAAATAGATGTTCAACTGACATAGTGTCCTTTATGGCTCTATTTTTGCTCCTTTTGCATTTCCCCTGCTCAGTTGTCAGAAAATTTCTCTTTACCATATTAAACTTTTATACATACAAATCTACATCAGGGCCGCAGGCAATGATTTCCATTTTCAAAATTGAATTTTGGGTGGTGACTGCAATTGGTACACACAGCGGCCCTGATTCTAGTCACACAAAGGGACGCATAAGCACTTTTGGGAAAGGGTGTTGCAAATTGCTTTGCTAATTAAGGTAGAGCTGGATTCGGGCCAGGAGGATCTATGAAAAAAGGTTTTCACGGCTGGGTAATGAACTTCTGGAGCCGCTTCCCTTCAATTCAATTGCAAATCTATTTCTTGAGCACCTACTATGCAGACTGCTCTGCTAGGGGCTGTGAGGGGATGGATGTAAAGACTGGGCCTCGGCCTTGGAGAAACTGGCAATCAAGCTGAAGAGACAAGGAATGCACGCATTAAAAATCGAACATGGCCCTGGGGCAGCATGTGATTGAGTGCTAGAGATACAGAAAATCAGGGGTGGGAGTCACCAGGCTTGACTAACAGGGCAGGTATGGCAGGGGTCTGGTTTCACTGCAGTGACAGTTCACAGAGTGAGGGGGAGCCAGAGTACCACACCGAGGAGAGGAGTACAGTGGCAAGGCTGGAGCTGGATGTGGCTGGGAGAACCCATGAAAAAGCAGAGGACAAGGGTGTTTTAGGTAAAGCAGGGTCTTAAGCGAGCCAAGGAGTGCTTCGAGGGCATGGGAAGGCAGCAAGTCTTGGCAAGCCTTGTGTGTTTGGGGGGATGGTGTCTTCAGAGCACTATATTCTCAAGGGTTAAGAACCACTTCTATGGTGGCCAATCTGGGAGGCAAGGAGAGGCCAGGGCACATGCTGGGGTGTGGTGAGGGGCAAAACACAGGCTGGCACCAAAGACCAGAGGACAGTGAAGGCCTCACAAACCTGCCTGCCACTTGTCCAGGAGGCAGAGGCAGACCCAGAGAGCTCTGTGCAAAGTGCACACCCACTGAAAGTGATCAATAATTTATCCCTCTAGGAGGAAGAGCACGTACATCTCTAAACAAGCACAGAAAACTCACATCCCTTGGTCTAAACACTACCTTAACTCTCTCTGGCTCCACCTGGAACTCGGGAAAGAGAAAAGATGGAGTCGTCTGCATTCCCTCTCAGAGAGGACTCTCCTCACAACTCCTGTTTTGCAGTGTGTTCAATATTATAGCCAAAAATAGCATGATCTATCCTTAGGCCATGCCTTAGGCCCACATGTGGGGGTGGGCACTGCTGAGATGGTGTCACCGCCGCTAGCACAGGCCAGGCAGTTGTGGGGCTAGCTCCTTGCCACACTGAGGAAGGCCAAGGACCAGGGCTCTGCTGGATGACCGAGACAACAGGATTATATACAATCTTCACATACTCCCCAGAGAACTGGAAACATCATTTACATCACTGCAAACCCAAGATACAGTTCAACTTTTTTCCAATGAGATTGGTATGATTTAACCCTGGCTATAATGCAAGAATTCTCTGGCAGGTGAGCCTCTTCTTGGGTGACTGCATTTCCAGGCTGTTCCTCAGAGCTGTGCCCCGTGATAGATTAGCAGGTGCTGGTACGCAGTCAAGAATCTTTCAGGCGGCTGCTTGTGCAGCTAGGGAACTCATTAGAAGGACTAGCCCCTTTCCCTGTACTTAAGCTAACAATTAAGAGTTGTTTTGCCACCTTCCCCCACGTTGTGATTCTATTTATTAAAGCTCCTGGTGCTGCAGGGGACCTGTTTTCTTGAAGAAACTGTATTCAAAGGGGGGCAAAACCCATAACCATTAACTTTCAAAATACCGCACAAAAGGACAGAGGGTGTAAGTGTGTTCCTGCTTCCCACCATCACCTCCCTCTTGGTGGGTTCTGGGTGGACCGTGAGACTCCCCAAAGGGCAATCTCAAGTGGAATAAATGGGAGGCGGTGGTTTTTGTATTCTGCTTTCAAGTCTGAAAGACTGATTTGCTTTCTAGGGAGTCTGGCCCTTCTGCACTGGTGTCCTACCTGAGAGTCATCTTTCTTCCTGTTTGTACTAGGGGGGTCGCGGCTGGGGCAAAGAAAAGCGGGTGGGTAAACACAGGGTGGTATTTGCTTTCAGCAAAACTGTCATTGGTTCAAAAAGGTTTGTACGGGACATGAGGGAAAAGGAGTAGCTTGGGGTTCATGGATCAAGAGGACTTTACAGCAAGAAACCACTTGGAGAAATGGCAGCTGAGGAAAGATCCGGCACCAAGGAGGCAACGCCAAATCAGGACCAGGTGTTGCTTACTTGGCTTGCCACTTACTCCCAGCGGACCCCGAGTAAGCTGGTTTCGGTTTCTGATTTTGTTTCCTTGTCTGTAAAATGGGAGTAAGTGATGGCCAACTTACTCAGCTGCACTAAGGATTTTTTTTTTTTGCACTAAGGATTAATTTAAATGAGAATATGCATGCAAAAGCATACGGAATACGTGTGCAGTGTTACTGTTCAGATGCAGGAAGCCAAGAGGCGGAGAGAACTGCCTGTCCCTCTCCTCTACAGGAACAAGGAGGCTCCCCCTCTGGTCTGGTCTTTCTGGCAACTGGCACAACCAAGGGCGAGTTCCCTAACCATCAGCCAACTGGTCTAATGCCTGCTGCTTGCTGCCAGCTTAATGAGGAGTCCACCAGAACCACCTTTCTCAAGGTTTATAAATGATCCGTGGGTGTCAGTGGGAGTGACTCACAGTGCTGTTCTCAATTCTGGCAAGAGGGCTGCTCCCTCTAAAAAATATCACCAAGATTTACCAAGCCCAGAAGTATTCTCAGGTGACATTAGGATGAGGGGTACCATGACAGTGGTCCTGAGTAATGTGCTTCCTGCCATCATATGTTGGTTTGCTCTACTAGGGATACATTCATCAGTGGCTCCAGAACCATCAACAGAGCCAGGACTTGCATCTAAAACCATGACTCAAATCTGTGTGGGCCTTCAACTGATTAGAACTATTTCCCCAGCTGATGACAAAGGATGACAACTCCAAAAGAGAAAGCTCTACCCTCCTTTCCTGGATCCCCTTACACTAAGTCAAGTAGGTGAACATCACACTCTCTCACCTCCCCAAGGGTCCAATCACCATCAGCTTTCCTGCTGGCTGCTTTCGCCACTTGAATTTCAGTAAATTAAATTGCATGTCTACCTGACTATAAAGTTTCTTGACGGTAAGGAGCAGACTTACCGTCCCTCTTCTAGAGTTCCTGAGGTTCCCCCCACACTCAAGCTCTCAAATTAATTCTCACCATCAGGACACAGAAATATTCCTTCTCACTCTTCACTGCTTCTCTCCATCTAGTTCTACCACACCTGCAACTACATTCAAATGATTTTTGTCTCATGAGCCATAACGGATCATTTATTTAATCTATTCATCCAGGGACGCCTGGGTGGCTCAGCAGTTGAGCATCTGCCTTTGGCTCAGGGCGTGATTCCAGGTCTGGGGATCATGTCCATATCAGGCTCTCTACAGAGGGCCTGCTTCTCCCTCTTGTCTCTGCCTCTCTGTGTCTCTCATGAATAAATTTAAAAATCTTTAAAAATCTATCCAGATATTTACTGATTGTCTTTTATGCACCAAGAACTATGCTAGACTGGCCGGTGGGGGGTGGGGGGGGTGGGCAGGGGGAAATAAACAGCACCTTCTCTACTCTCAGGAGGCTCACACTAAAAATATGTAGGGAGCAGAGCCCTACGAAGTCTAGGGTGTTTGCAGAGCTGGGAGGAGATAGAATTCTTGCCTTCAAGATCTTTGTATGTTGGGCCAGTGAAGACCCTTGTAAAAGATGTGTTGGCCGAGTGCCCCCACCAAGCTCTAAGCCAGACCCTTCATCCATGCCCTCCACCCAATCTGGAATCTGGTTTCACTGATGCCACTGGGCATGTTCTAACTCCTTGAGATGGGCTGGCTTGGCTCTTTGTTGGGCTAAGTTGCAAAACCAAACCAAACCAAACCAAACCAAACCAAACCATGTTCCTGCTTTGTTGTGGCCAAGTCTGGCAAAAAGTCCTTTCTTCAGGTCCTGTGTTTATCACATTTCCTATCTCTGACCTCTTGCCTGAGCCCCAGGCTCAAATATCCCACTGTCTACTTGACATTTCCACTTGGGAGGTAAGTCCACTTGGCATCTTGAATTTAATGTCTCACACTGAATTCAAGATGTTCTTCCCATACCCTACCTGCTCCTCATCTAGTCTTTCCCATCTCAGTAAACGGAACCTCCTCCCACCTGGTTGCTCAGGCCAAAAAAACATCTGGTGTTACGGTGTTATCACTGGTTTCTCTTTTTTTCCCTTTACGTCACATCCATTATATTAGCAAGTCCTGTTGAAGTAACCTTCACCGTGCAACCCAAATCCAGCCACTCCATGTCCTGCGCTGCCACCCTCATCCAAACTGCCATTCTTTCTTGCCAGAATAGCCTTTTCTCTAGCCTCCTTGTTTCTCTCCTTGCCCCCTATAATCCATAACCACCCGCAACCAAGATGATTTTTTAAAACAAATAAATCAGGTCGCATTAGTCTTCACAACCCCTTCCCGGTGGCTTCTTGCTGGCCTTATGATAAAATCCAACTCCTAACCAGAGCCTAGAAGACTGTACTGCGCCTGGTTCTTGTCCTATGACTTCAACTCTTAGTAAACGAAAAAATCTTCCTTTTTGTTCCTTATCAGGCCAGTGTGCTTCCTACCTAGGACCTCTGGGTGGAATGCCCTTCCGACCAAGTATACAGTCAGCTCGTCCTCTTCCCTTGTGTCTCATCTCTGTGTCACCTCCTGAGTGAGGCCTTCTCTACCTCAATTAGTACTACCCTTTGATCATGCTATTCTGCTTTACGCCAGCACGGTATTGATCTGGACTGACCTATGTCCACTTGCTTACTGTGTCCCAGAGGAGAATGTAAACTTCAACTTCAGGCGAACAGGCGCTTGTCTGTCTCCCAGCACCTAGCACAGTTCCCAGCACACGGTGGGTGCTCAGTGAGTATGTGCGGTGTATGAATGAGGCCCAGAGCCGCTGTAGCACCAACCTGGAGGACAGCAAGAACGCAGGTCGCTACGCACACAGGGACAGGGGCTGAGGTCCCGAACCTGCCGCACCGGGCTCACCGGGGCGCAGGGAGCACACACGGGCTTAGCTGGGGCCCTGCAGAGGTCCTCGAGGGTTAGCTCGGTCACTGCACAACACTGCCAGGAAAGCACCGTGTCGGGGAAGCTAGAGGCCTGTGACTGTCGCCACCTGCGACTGCTGTGCGTCTCAACCCAGGCTGCACCCTGAATCATCTGGTGAAAGTCAAAAAATAGAGACCAAAGCCCCGCCCCCAGAGGTTCTGATTCCCGAAGGCTGAATGGTTCCGGACGTCTAGATTTTTAAAAAGCTTCTTCAGGAATTCCAAGTGCAGCCAGAGGAGAGCGCTGAGTGACCAGGCTGGGTCGCCGCCCTCCGCAGTTCCGGGGTGGGGGTGGGGGTGGGGGTGGGGGTGGGGGTGGGGGCAGGAGGGTCCGCGCGCACGTGCGCCCAGGGAGGAAGGCGCGCGCATGCGTGGACCCCGCCGCTCGTCCGTTCGTAGGCCCCGCCCGCGCCTCGTCCTTTCCGCCCCTCGCCCCAACCAGCGCCCCGCTGCGGGCGGACCCCACAGTCCGGTCACCTGGGTGTTCTCTCCCTCCCGAAAGGCCTGTGCTACCCGCTGCCGCAGGTAAGTGCCCAAGTCCCGGCCCCGTTTGCTCTCGTCCACCGGCCATTCCTCACAGAGCTTAAGGAAACGCCGATAGCGGCTGGCCGCCATCTTGGGCCCCGCGTGTCTCCGCCCCTGAGGGAGGAGCCCGCGCAGTAGGTGGCGCTTGCGCGCTGAGGCTCTCCCCGGCTTCCTGAGGAGGCGGGGCGGGAGGGAGGAACGAGCATGCGCGGCTTCGCGGGCGCTCCGGGGCTCTCCGGATGGGGGCGATGTTCTCCTGTCTCTGCCGTGGAGCTGGTTCGGTGTTCTTCGTCCTCGAACTGGCCCCGCTCCCAGGGGCGGGTGAGACGCGGAGCACCCCAGGGACAGGTTTGCTTCTCTTTTCAGTGACTGCACAGTCTAAAAAAAACTTCCTCCGAGACCTCTGCTGATTTGCATAAACGAATGTATTTGCATGTAAATGCAGATTGTTATTCGATGAAGATGTGTGTGGACTTGATCCCGTAGCATGCACGAGCTGTTCGCCGCCGCTGCTCTCCTCTGCAGCTCCTGTGCTTGTCACTACGACTTGGCACTGCTCCGCAGCTCTCGTTCCTCTTTCCCCAGCCCCTGTTGGTACCCCTTTCGGAGTCCCCCCCCAACCCCCCATCGGGCACGTGTCCCTGGGAGGCGCAGATTTGCCAGCTTGAGCAAAGTCAGCTGGGTTGATTCAGCCTGGGAAACTTGTTTCACGAAGCCTTTTCTTATACATCTCCAGCTGCAGCATCATGTGGAATGTCATCATTTTTCTTTTCAAGCTACCCCCACCAGTTCCCTTAAGAAATCCTCAGCCCAGCTTTGCTGAGCCAGGCTCTTGTTTTCACTGTCTGCATTTAGCCAGGACCATCCCCTGCATGCAACACTCGCCTCCCCCAGGCCTCTTCCTTCTCACCCTCCTACTATGTAAAGGTAAATTCAGGAGACTCTTGCCTTCAAGGGGTAGACTGTTGAGTAGTGACACAGGTTCAAAGTGACAGGGGCTTTGATTGAAGTGTTAGGCAATGCTGCAGAGTTTGGAGGAAGAAATGCTACTTCTGGCTGTCAGGGGAGTAAGGGGAGAAAGATCAGAGGTGGCTTCTGGAGGAGATGGCATTTGGGCTGAACCTTGAAGGACGGTTAGGGTTTGAATAAGTGGGAACAAGAGGCTGCTGAGCAGCAAGAGCCGGGCCTGGGGCAGGAATGAGAGGGAGGGGTTTAATTTGAGGAAAGATCAGTGGGTAGTTTTAACAAGAATGAGTCAGCTTTGAACTGTTCTGAAGGTCTTAAGAGTAAAGACCTATTGAATGAGAACCTCTGGGGACCTGGGGTGTGCACTGCCCACTTGAGGTAAGTGAGTTCAGGGAGGGCCTACCTGAGGCTAGGAGAGCTCAGGAGGAGTGGAAAATGAAGCTTTCACGGGCACCCCCACCTCATTCCCAGTCCATCAGTACCTCCCAGCCCTATCCTCCTCATCAGCTGTATTTATAGCCACATAGTTTTGATGGCTGCCATGAGGCCTAAAGGTCAAGGATTGTATCTGTTTACTGTCAAGTTCTGGGTGCCTAGGGCTGTGCTGGGTACCTAGAGGTCTTGTCATTCTGCCTGAGGCCTGACCACAGCTGTGGCTCTGAAGATCACCTGGCTGGCTGACAGAGTCCCTAGGAGGCAGGGCCTGAGGTCCCTCTGTCTTCAGTGAGTGGAAGAGTAGCATTAGGTGGCAACAAATGGTTTTCACTCTGCTTGAGGTACAAGTGGATTGAGAGGTTGAGAACAACTAGACAGTTGAGTTCCAGAACAACTGGAACTCCTTCTCAGGCTCTCCTTTCCCCAGCACAATGTCTTCTAGAAGGGTTGTGGTTGTCCCTGGTTCAGACTGCCCTGCCCATCTCTCTCACCCCCTGGAGGCTTGTTTGTTTTGGTGATTCAGTAGTGAGGCCTTGGCGTCTTATAGACCGGAGTTGGAATGTGGGCTTGCTCATTGATTCATTGATTCATTGATTCATTCAGAACTATCTATGTAATCTGTGGAGGCCCAGGATGAAGTGAAAATATAAAATTCCTTGTTAAAATATTATTAAGAATTTCAAGACAGGGCGTCTGGGTGGCTCAGTGGGTTAAGTGTCTGCCTGGGCTCAGATCATGATCTCAGGGTCCTGGGATTACACCCCACATTGGGCTCCCTGATCAGCGGGGAGCCTGCTTCTCCCCCCGGCTTGTGCTCATGCCCTTTCTCTCTTTCTCAAGTAAATAAATAAAATCTTAAAAAAAAGAAAGAAAGAAAGAAAGAAAGAAAGAAAGAAAGAAAGAAAGAAAGAATTTCAAGACAGTAACAGCCAAGCGTTAAACCAGTATGGGGCTTTTGGGCACTCAGGGCTCTGTGTGACCACACAGGTCACACACCCATGAAGCAGCCCTGGGCTCCTTCCCCATGGTAGACGAGACAGGCGAGGGCCTGATCCTGTGAGTTTTATATTTAAGTAGGTGGAGATGGACAACAACTGAACAGAACTATGATAACAATAATAGTAGTACTTTTTAAAAATATATTTTATTTATTTATTCATGAGAGACACACACACACAGAGAGGCAGACATACAGGCAGAAGGAGAAGCAGGCTCCTCGCAGGGAGCCCGCCGCAGGACTCGAACCCAGGTCTCCAGGATCATAACCTGGGCTGAAGGCAGCGCCAAACTGCTGGGCCATTGGGGCTGCCCAGAACTATGATAACAATAATAATAGTACTTTGTATGTGTTAAGTCGTTTAGCAAGTGAACAAGATAAGATTTGAGGCAGGGTGCTGGGTGCACAGTGATTGGGGCCAGGGTGGGTCTGAGTGGTCTAGGGGAGGGCTGTGTATGAGAGAGACCTGAGTGGCTTCCTAGCATGGGGGCAGCAGAAGCCTTCAGGACAGCCAGCTTTGAGTGGGCTATTTAATCTCTCTGAGCTTTATTTTATTTTATTTTTTTAAAGATTTTATTTATTCATTCATGAGACACACACACACACACACACACACACACAGAGGCAGAGACACAGGCAGAGGGAGAAGCAGGCTCCATGCAGGGAGTCTGATGTGGGACTCGATCCTGGGTCTCAAGGATCAGGCCCTGGGCTGAAGGCGGCGCTAAACCGCTGGGCTACCCAGGCGGCCCTAATCTCTCTGAACTTTAGTTCTTCATCTTAAAATGGGAATTATAATGATAAAGTAACCCTTCTCTGGGTATTTGCTCTGTGTTTGGCACTGTCCTAATGCCTCATACAGTAGTGGCTCATTTAGTGCACATGATGGCTCTCAGAGACAAGTACTGTTATTGTTCCAATTGTACAGAGGTGGAGACAGTACAGAGAGGATGAGAACTTGCCAAGGTCACCAGCTGGTAAGTGGCAGAACCTGTACTTGAACCCTGGCTGACTGAGTCCAGAGCCTACACACTTGCCCCCTGTCAGGAGGCCCCTTCGGTGTTATCATGAACTGCATACATGGTGTCTTTTGGGACACATGACAGGTTCCCAGGGGGCTCTAGGGCCCTCCAGCCTTGTTTTACCTGTGACCCCCACCATCTGATGCCTGTGGGTGGTCAGAGCCAGAGTCTGGGCCCATTGGCTTGTCAGTCACCCAGCGCCATTCTGGACACATTAATAGGCCTTGCCTGGAATGGGACTTGGCAGTTCCAGTCCTCAGGGAGTTAGGACCATTTTAACACCCACCTGCTGACTGTCACTCATTCCATAGTGAATGCCACCTCCCCTGGCTCCTTGAAAACTCCCTCCCAGAGCTGTACCTCCCGACCCATTTGGAATGGGTATTTGGGCTCTATGGAATCCTGGTTGCTCTTTATAGAAACAGACACCATAGGGAGGGGAGGGGAGGGGAGGGGCTGCTTCAGATTTTCGAATTATAATGATCCTGGTAATTGAGACACCAAATTGCACATTTAAATCGCTTGAAAGTAAAAATATCGTTTTGTAATGCTGGTGTTAATAATGTAAACATTAAAAACGAATTAAACACTTAGCTGTATTGTGGAGCATAGTTGCCTGATTTTTCTTCTTTCAATTCTTTCAACTGGAGGAAACAATTGGCTACAGTACCTAGATATGTTACCATAAAAAGTGGTCTGGACTTGCATGGAAGAGGTTAGTCAGTTAATGCCCCTGCATAAAGGTGAGCCAGAAGGGGCAGGCTGGTGGTAGATTGTTGCCTTTCTCTGGAGGTGAGCTGCTTTTTAAGATTCACAGGTGTTGGGGCTCCTGGGTGGCTCAGGGTGTGATCCTGGGGTCCCACATCGGGCTCCCTGCATGGAGCCTGCTTCTCCCTCTGCCTGTGTCTCTGCCTCTCTCTCTCTGTGTGTCTCTCATGAATAAATAAATAAAATCTTAAAAAGAAGACTCACAGGTATTTAAGGTGTGCTGGGGTAGGCTAGTGGTGTCCTAAAGCACAGCCCAACGAATGTACCCACAGTTCCTTGGCTCTGTGGGAAATCTGTCGTCTGCCCTGGGCCCTGCCTCCCTTCACTCTGCTCTAGTTGAGGTCACCTCAGAGAGAGGCCTTCCCTGGCCCCCATTTCAGGGAGTAGGCCTGCTACTCTTGGTCCCTGCAAAACGCTAGTCACTATTGGACAGCAGGCCCTGGCAGAGAGTCACCTCTCACTAAATGAATCTGAAGATAACCGGCAACATCAGAGTCTGGAGCTGGGATATCCCCGCCTACCCGTTCCCACCCAGACACCTGCCCCCGTGAGACACTCCTCTCTAGAGGTCTGAGGGAGAAAGGTAGGAGGGCACATCAGGAGCAAGTGGATCTCTAGATTTCTTGCTTGGATTAGCCTTCCAAGCTCCTGTCCCATTTCAGGGCAGCCTAGTCACAGTAGGGAGAAGTTCTGAAATGAAATTACATTATAATGAAAAGGACCCAACCGGGCTGCAGGTCAGCCTGCCCAGCTGGTGCTTGACTTGGTACTGTCCCAGAGCTGCTTTCCCTCCCACCCACCCTCCGTCCCTCTAGTTCTTGGCACCCATGCCTTCATTTTAGTTCTTTCCTCATCTTCTGTTTTATGTTTTTGGCCACTGTGGGTGCAGATGTAAATCAAAAGTCAGAAGCTTAGATCATTTTGCAGAGCTGCTGATGAGTGGTCTTGCCTTGCCATTTGTTTTAGGAGACTGCTTCCTGCCCTTTCCAGCATGGGCTACAAGACTCCATGCAGCGGGGAAGAATGATGGGACTGCCAGCGTGCTGCCCAGAGGCCCAGGGCTTCCTGATGACATCGCGTCATGGAAAAGCTATAATAACATTCTGCTCTTTAGCTTCCTCTTCAATCACACCAGGAACGCCAGAGGGAGGAGACAGGTCTGGGTGACTGTCTCCCAGACCGTTCTTGTCCTCCCTGGTGGGGAGGTCAGGAGCAGATTGCTCCTCTATGTCACCTGTCTGGAGGACCAAGTGAAAGTTCCTGGGGGGCAGCTGGGGTCAGGAGACGTGAAGCAAGTCTACCAGCTCCCTGGGCTCATACTCACTGTGTGAGGATGCAGCCAGGAGAAGGATCTGCATCAGGCCACTGCTGACAAGAGGGTTATGGAGGTTATAACAGATTTGCTGGGGTCTCCTCGAACCTATTTCCTTTTCTAGGCTCATAGTTAAAGTACATCTCAGCCTGCTGGCATCTGGGCCCAGGGCTAGTTCTTGTGTCTGGAATGTGGTTGTGCCTTTTCTGTGTCTGACTTTTAGACCTTGTGGTTGATTGAGGAAGGACCCTGGATGACTGTGTGGAGCAGAGAGGCTCTCTCTCTGCTGACTAAACCTGATTTTGTAATGTTAAGCTACTGTTGTTTGGGGATTGTTTGTTATAATGGCCCACCCTGACTAATAATTGTGCATTTCTCAGTTTAGAAAAGAAGAGACTCCCCAGCCCAGGGAAGGGGAGGCCAGCCAGGAGGCGCTTCCAGACAAGAGAAGAAGCGGGAGGTTTGGAGGTCCTTGATGGTCCTCAAGTGCTGAGTTTTCTTCACTTCCATCTTATTCTCTCTTGGTGCCTCTTCACATCAACCCTGTGGCCAACACCTACCCTGCTATTTCCGGAGCAAAATGCTTGCTTCCTGTCCCTGTGCTTGTTCATAATACCTGCTTTCTTTATAACCTCTGAGACTTGCCTCCCTTTCAGGGCACAGCTCAGACACCACCTCCATGAACTCCCCACATGGCTGTGAGTTCTCCCTGCCTCTCCTCTCCTGGTAATAGTCTGCATGGCTGAGCAAATGGTCACCAGGCCTTGTTTGAAGCACCCCTGATATTTTCACATGATGGTATTCACCTTTTCATTACGTCATAAGGTTCTTAAGGATAACGACATGATCTTCACACACTTCCTTGTTTCTGGCACAGGTCTCAGCACTGTGCCGTATATACCAGGCACTGGGGAAATATTTACTGGTTGGATGAATGGAAGGAAAGAAGGACAGAATAATGTAATCACAAATGAATGAGCTACTCAGCCAGATTTTTAAGTGTCTCCACTATCTGGGCTCACTCCCTTTCTTTCCTCTTCATTCTACTACTCCCAACTACAAAATCCCCATTCTGGATGGGTTGGTCTGTTCAGACTCATGAGCATGCTGGACTTTTCCTTCTCTCCACTCAGCTCCTTCCCCATTCTTATCACCATTCAGGGCCTAAATGAAGTCCCACCCTCTCCAACAGTTTCTGTGATTTGTGTTTCTGTGTTGGCTGTGAGCTGACCTCTGTGAACTTTCAGGATTGATCATCTGCACCGCACAGATGAATCCTCTGTATCACTGGGTACCTTCTTTGTGCAGTTTGTTGTCAGTTCACACGTGTTATTCTTGCCTCCTAGAATACTAGAATCTATGCTCCCAAGAGCTGGATCTTCTCCAGTGCTTAGCAAAAAGGTCGACAGGGAAGAGCTCCTTAGTTCAGTGTATTCTTAATGGTTACTGGATACTCCGGGCCCCCTCACCTCTTTTGCCATTTTAAAGTAAACTGCCATTGGATATCAAATGCATTCATGCTGACGATCTTCTCTTCTTCCGGTATCTCTCTGATCTTCTCCTTATTCCTGGATTTGCAGTGCTCAGGTGGACTCTCTCAGCTGGGTTAGTGAAGCCTTGTACACATTTCTAGACAGTGGTGACTCCTCTGAGCCCAGACTCCTCTGAGTCTGGGAAGCACAGTCTAAAACTGGTAGCCAGCTTTGCCCCTTGCAACAAACTCCACCTTTGTTGGTGACATCTTCAGGGGTATGTGGGATTTGGTCTGGGCCTCAAGGGCTTGGCAGAGGAGGAAGGCCTCCTGTGAAGGGCACTGTTGGATAAAGGACTGGCTGAGGGAAAAAGGGTCACGTGGACAGGAGCCAGGAGAGTGACATGCATGGCCAGCCCTGAAAGACTAATATTCTAGCTAACCGCCCCCACCCCCCATCTTCAGGCAGGTCCCACAATACCCAGGGCTGAGAACAGGGACAGGAATCAGAAGCTAAGGCAGGGAGCTCCAGATTTGATTGAACCAGATTTTTAAGCAAGGAAGTGCCCTAGAAAAGGCAGTATTTAGGGCTCCATTTTGTCTTTAACAAATATTTAGTTTTTGGTTGACTTCTTTTTGCCACCCAACATACTTTGACTCAGTTCTCCCATCATGAGTGCAGAGCATGCAAATTAATCACAACGTTACCTCAGCCACACATACTTAGGGAAGTTAACTTGCTTTGAAATCCATATAATATATACTAAAATTAAACAAAATTTTTTAATCCAAGCCACTCTTTCCTTAAGTGTGGATTTTGGAAGGTTGATGGTAATTAGCCATGAGAATACAAAAATTATTTAACTCTATGTTATAGAAAGTTCAGATAAAAGGACCAATTATGAGCTCTGGTACCTGCCTTGTAGATACATGGAAATACTTGATTAGCCACCGTTTTCCACCCAGGATCCCCAAAGGATTGTAGGAAATCAGTAAACTGTTCTTTCTTTTCTTTTCTTTTTTTTTTTTCCCAGGGAACTGTTCTTGCTGTACACACTAGTCGCCCATAAATTGTAACTGCTATACAGTGTGGTGATCAGAATAAACAAACAGAAAGGGTAATAAGGCACACCAAATAATTCTGGTGACCTCAGCAATTTTATTAACAAATTTATTTCCCTAATTGGGTAACGTATCTTCATGCTCGACTCAAGGGCATTGTAATGGGTTTCCACACTGCAGAAGAACTAATTAATTAGGACTGTTTGCTCTTCCGTATTTACACTTGTTCACCAGTCTTGTAAACATTGCACCTGGTTTCCTTGGCCCTCCAGCCTTCTCTCTCCTGATTCCCCCACCCTACCCCCAAAATAAATAAATAGAAAGCAAATAGTATAATTTAATATCAGTAGCTCATCCTTTCGTGCAGTCCACCCCCACTGGAAGCTGCATTTTATGGTTAGAGCCATTTTGTGGCCAGGATCTAGTCAAGTTATCGCTCCCAATAGGTACTCGGAAGTCTAGAAAGAGACCCTTGTCTCCATGGGCAAAAATGGAGAACCTGGGGTCTCGATTTGCCAGGGCTGTGTCTGGATTGCCCTTGCCAATTCAGACCCTGGGTAGGAAGCTGGTGAGATGGGCAGATCTGCCCTACTCCTTCCTGCCTCACCCAAATGCCTCTTGGGAAGGTAGGAGACAGTCATTCGTGAGCTCCGGAAAAATCATACACTTGTGAACTCACTGTTCAGGTCTTCTTCAAGTAGAGTTTTTTGCCTCATAGCTTGCCAAGACTTCAGTGTGACAACAAAAAAGCATTTTTGGGGCAGCCCTGGTGGCTCAACAGCACTGCCTTCAGTCTGGGGCCTGATCCTGGGGGCCCAGGATCGAGTCCCATATCGGGCTCCCTGCATGGAGCCTGCTTCTCCCTCTGCCTGTGTCTCTGCCTCTCTCTCTCATTGTGTCTCTCATGAATAAATAAATAAAATTTTAAAAAAATTTTTCAACGCAAATTCTCCAGAATCTTACTGTAATGCTGGCTTCTCACTCCTGCCGCAGCCCTCCAATGTACTGCAAAATGGTGCCATTTCACACTGACTGTCCAGTCTCCAATGACCAGCATTAGTATAAGATGCCAGCATACGTGGAATTCTCTCCAGAGCTAGTTTCTTTAGCAGCCGATAATATACCTGCCATGTATGGCTTTTGAATGTGGATATAATTATTACAAAGACATCTAACAGTTTCTAGAGTACCCTGGCTGGCAGTAGGTCCCTTTTGAGAACTAGACTCCAAAAAAATCTGGATATGCCCAACAAGCCTCATTCTCCCTCTTGAATATCCTGTAGGATCTGGATGAGGTTTTCTAGGCCAAAAATATAGCCCGGATCTGGTCCGTCATAAGTGGTGTGTTCGTTCCAGGAGCCTTTGTATGTTGTGTGAGCAAAGTCGATCATCCGGATGTCAACTTTGGTGAGACCTCCAGCAGAGATGCCATGGGTCATCTGCGGAGCCTCCTGAGAATGCAGACCTCCTGGGGTCCTTTCTGGCAGCTCCTGCCCATCATAGATGATGAGGAGAGAGCTGGAGTAGAATCGATATGAACTCTGGCTCCTAATGACCGAGAGGAGGGCCCGGAGCTGGTGCTGAATGGGCTCCAGGAGCTCTGTCCGGAGGCGGGTTCCGTCATGCAGGAACTGATGGAGTGCTTGTCGGAACCCCTCAACGGAGAGTTTTCTTCCGTAATACTTGTCTTTGCAGAGAAAGTGCTTCTTATCAACTTGATAAACCTTATAATAAAAAAAGAAAATGTGAAGAATTGCCAACTTAAGAACAGACTTGGAACTGCTATGGTTGCAGTGTCAGAAACTAATAGGATATATAAACAGTTTTCTGGGAGATGCAGGGCAAGCATGGCTGAAATGAATGGAAGGATGATCTTTCATCAAGCACCAGGGGATCTTTCACATTTCAAAATGCTTTCTGTGCAAGCTTTTAATAGGAATCCAGGGTCTAAATATTCTTCACCCCACAAAGGTGATCCTCCACCCAGGAGGAAAAGCTTTGGATCACCTTTCTTGTGAATTTCCAGTGTCATCCTCCAAATCATGATTTAAACCCTGGCTTCTGGCCCTCTTCAATTCAAATATTAGCAAACCCAAGCTAGAAAGCTTCAGTAGGAATCTGAAATCACAGCCAATGGCCTTGGAAAGCCAACTAGATTCAAATTTCCCCAATTAAGTTTATAAAGTCCTTTCTCTGCAGATTCTAAGGAAACAATCATGGCTCTTGAGGTAAAGCAGGGTTGACTGAAAATAAAAAGATCAAAAGACGGGCTGGATCAGGTATGGGTGGGGTTTTCAGGCAGCCAGCTCAGCTGAGGGGAGCCTCACAGCAGCCCTGGGAACTGGTGGCTCCTCCTTGGCACCAGCACCTCTCCTCTCCCCTGTCATGTCTTGGCCACCAGAAAGGAACAGATGGAGGAGATGCTGATGGGGGGTGGGGGGACAGTGGCACCCACTCCCATTTCATTCAGATGGCAGAGGCAGAGGCTGTACCAAGGCCAGTGGCTAGCATGGCCGTGACTTGGCACACCTCTACCCGGCACACCTGGGAAGGGCAGCCCACACCTGGCCAAGACAGTTTCTCAGGTCTTTCCTGCCTTCAGATTATGTGGTATGTTTACAGGAAACCAGTGCTGAAAAAATCAGAAAGATATGATAGACTTGCTTTGGAGGGCTGAAGATGGGCTGCTAAATTAGCTGTCATAAATACATGACAGGCGTCATTGTCTAAATAAATCAGATCATTTTCAGAAGATTGGAGGTCCAGAGAGAGATTCCATTTACACCCCAAATCATCACACTCCATTCTCTTGAGGACTGCATTCCAAACCTTCCAAGGGACATCTGTGCAACAGATTTATAGACTCCACTTCCAGCTTCAAGGGTGGCAGTTTCAATTAAGGAAAGCTTTAACCTGTACCGTCAAATTGGTCTCTGGTTTTGCTTTGGGGAGATAGACTGCAAAATCAAACGAGTAGGGAAAGTTTATTTCTTCCCTTTCCTACAGCCCCTGCCACAGGCCACATCAGAGCTGCAAAACTAGGGTAGAGTCTGGGCAATAAAAAATTAACTTTCCTTTGCCTCAGCTTAGCAGGCTACGATCTGCTTAATTCATTAACCAGAACAGGTAGCAAACAACAACAACAACAACAACAACAAAAACCCAGAAAAGGTGGAGTAGGAAGAAGGAATGGCTTCTAAGAATTCAAAAAGCAGAGTGCTGTACAGCACTGGAGAAGGAGAGGGTTCAGCTTTATCCTTCAAGAGATTGAGAAAGTCACGGAGTGCACAGGGAAGCTCTTTTTCACGTCTGTCCCCAGCCCCTGCTCACACACTGTTATGAGAGGTCTGCTGTCAATATGGACAGGACCCACGTGGCCACTGGGAAATTTAAGCTGCCAGAGACCCTGAGACAGAGTTTAAAAAAAAAAAAAGTGGCTTTTTGGCAGCACTTTCCTGAAAGGGGCTCTTATAGAAATCCCAGTATATCCTAGGGCAGATAGCGTTTCCTGCCTGGGCAGGCTGTGCCCAGCTCCCTCCTGTGTGGCTCTGTACACAGAGGTGTCTGGGAGACACGCTCACTGCCAGGATGCCCAGCCCTGCACCTACCTGCATGCCGCAGATGCGCACGCCCAAGCAGGCCGAGGTGCTCTGCGCACACTTCCTCATGTGGCGGGCCTTCTTCTCCTCAGACACATCATCCCCGTGCTGCCGGGTCCCCATCTTCAGGTCTAGGATACAGGGGTGCTTATATTGTGACACGACGTTTTCCAGCAGCAGAAACCCTGGTCACGCCAAGTTCAGGAAGGCTCCGTGGACATGAAGGCCACTGCCCCTACGGAGGCCGTTAGCATGCCTTGGCGGATGCCTGGGAACACAAAGCTATTCCTTCTCTCTCGGCTCCTTACAGACAAGCCCATCGTCCCTCTTAAGAATTCCACGTATTAGCTTTGCAGGCTGCTTTAATAAGTCCATTTATTAAAAAAAAAAAGTCCATTTATTTAGGGGAGTTTATGACTATGTGAGCTTTCTTTTTCCTTTTTGCTCTGAGGTTGAAATCTAAATGCAGGCGTGAAATCCCTGGCAGACTTGGGATTTGGGCAGACATGCCCAATTTACATTTTATGGCAGAAAATCATAAGGCTAAAACCTTGAGTCACTGAATGGGCCAGTACCTTTTGGGAGAAGTGGGTTGATGTTAGCTTTGGAGATGAGTTGCAGGAATATTAATTTCAGCGGAGTAATTATCCTGCAAAAGCTTCTTAGGGATTAGGGCTGCAGATGTGTCTTAGTAAATACTGTGAAACCAGTCACCCGTCTTGCAGGAAGGAGCCCAGCGCTGACAGAGGGGGCGTTTCAAGCCTACATGTACTCAGAACATGGCAGCCTGAGAATGAGGGAGGAATGTCTCCTTCACAGGCACTTCGCTGATGGGGGATCCACCCCCCTCACCCCGTCAGATCCATAGGAAGACATCTTCAGGGAGAATTTGGAGGGATAAAAGGGAGGCTGGGGTGTGGGGAATCGACCCATCCCTCTGAGCCTCCCACTGCCCCCACCCAGCATGGCAGTCATCATTCCTATCTGCACACAGAGACCTCCCAGCCCAGCCCCCTCTGCCCAGGTGGCAGTGACACAGCCAGTGGCCTGACCACGGGCACTGTGTTCAGCTCAATTTCCAGTCTGACTTCCCCACACTCTCTAATTTTTCTTTTGGAGAGATCAGATTTCTTCTAGGTCCTAGGTTTGAGGGCTTGTGCCTCGAAGTGTCCCTCACATCAGTCTCTCTCCCCACACTTCCCCCTCCCCTGGCCCTGTGTACACCCCGTCTGTCTGTCTCCACCACCCGCCTTCAATCCTCCCACCCTTTGATAGGTGGTAGGAGTGTGAGCAAGGATACGGTGCCGCTTGTTCTCTGGGTACTCGGTGCACAGGCGGGTCAGGTGGGCCTGATGGCACTGCAGGCCCCACGGGTTAAAGCTCCTCCTCTCAGACTGGTTCCCTTTAGCATCTTCCACCAGCGAGGAGACTTGGGCATTGAGTTGGAACTCGGACCTCAGGAGCGTCGTGGCCGGGCTATGGGAGACGGAAGCGAATGATAGGCCAGCAATGGCCAGAGGACTGGGGAAGGGTGCCCATCTCTGTGACTGGGCTCTCCAGGGTTGGGCCCTGACACGGACTGTCCCTGGCTACTCTCCAGGATGTCTGCAGGGCCTCTGTATGCCCCTCCTGCCCCATTCAGGCCCTGGGCACCAGATCAGTCCACACTGCAGCCCTGGCAGGGCTTCTCTCAGAACCCCAGAAGAACTCATTGTCATCCCCTCCTTAGAGGGCTGAGGTGGTTTAAATTCACTTGTAAGTGACCTGGATTGCTATTGTGCTATTGAGGCGACACAGCGTGGAGAGAGCAACCCTCCCTAGAATCAGAAGGCTGGGGGTTTAGGCTGTGAGTGTGCCATGTCATTGTTCCCTTGAGACCTCAAAGTGTCCTCAGGGGTGGGAATCCTGGATCCTTGGTCCACCCTCTCTCCTGTCCTCCGCACCCTGGCTTTCCCATCTGTGAAATGGAGATAATGTGTACCCACTTCCTGACGCTGAGCCAAGAGGCTTAATTAGATCCGCTGTGCTCCTTGGGGAAGGGAGGTACTTTCATTGTATTAGCTCCCTTTTGTTTTCCAGAAATGTTTTATAAGTCCCCAGGGGTCCTTTTCATCTGAGAAAGGTCAGCTAACATTATCAGAGGTTTTGGAGACCTCTCTGGGATCTCGGGTGCCTTGAGCTGCCTGTGTCTCTGAGGTCCCAGGGGGGACTTCATTGACCTCTCCTTTTCCCTTCCTGATTGCTAGGGAAAGGTGATTTCTGACTGCCATTAGCCACTTTTCCTTTGTGTCAAGTCTTCTGGGTTTCTGCATTGCCCCCACCCTCACACCCCACCAGAGATACTTCCTGGTCTCGGTGAAACAGGTATTTAATTAAACAAATATGTCCTGAATGCCTGCTCTACATAGGACTCTGTACATGCGGCAGCTTCTGAGGTAAATACATTAGTCCTCCCTCTAAAACCACAGGAAAGAAAATCCATTCCTTTTCTGGGTCCCATTGCGCTTCTAGACAGAGACTTCATGTGAATCTCTCACTCCCTTGTCCCTACTGGGGAGCCGTTAGCTTTGGCGCAGGTGGGAGTGGTACTGGTCCCTGCTGGGGTTCTGCCATCCTGCCACATGGCCCTCACCTCTCCTCGAGCGAGTGTGCCAGCTGCCACTGGGTGAGGGGGTGGGCGCCACCACTGCCGCTGGTGGTCTGCTGGAGAGTCTGCCATAGTGCCACTGCCGCCGACTCCGTGGAGACCTTGAAGGGCCCCCGGTTCTCCTTCAGCGGGTTGGCCACCAGGCTGAGATGGCCTCGGCTGTCTTTTTGGAGGTGCACCGTGATGGTGCCTGCAGAGCACACGAGGGAGGAAGGGAGGGGGAAACCAGATGGAATTTACCTGGTGGATGTGTTGCAAGAGGTGACATCCTTTTGAATTGTAGTTTAATGTAATGTCACTGATCAACCCCCCCCACCACCCCTTCCCTAACTCTTCTCTCAAGGAAGAGTTATGGGGACTGTTCCAGAATGAGCCCAGGGCCATGGAACCTGCAGAAAATAGCCTTGGGCTGATCTGGGCCCAGGCTCTGCTTCATTGCATCTCTCTGCCCTTTCATGCTTTGAACAAAGTCAGTCCCATACATTTTGTTCTCACCTTCTGGCTCCTCAGTAGTGGTACCTTCCCCGTCAGACAGAGCTGTTTCCGCGGGGCACAACCTGGCGTCATTGGAGCTGGTCCTCTGTAGAGAGGGCCCCTCTGCCTCAGGGTGGCTGTGAGGGAAGTTGGGGCCCATCCCATTCCTTCCCGTTGCCTCCTTCATCATCCTTTCTCTCCCTTCCCTTTCCCTCTCTCTTCTTCCAGGAAGCTCACCTCAGACAGCCTTCCAGGACCTGGCCTCTGTGTCACCTTCATTTAGACCCCACCCCTACCCCTGGTCTCTGGCTTTAACACAGATGCCTGCCATCTCCTTCAGCTAGACACACAGCACGTGAATATTATTGATGGAACATGGTTCTTTGATAGGAAACAGGAGACTTCTAGGATTTCTCCAGCTACAGTAACTCCTGACCGTTGGTGTTTGTAATCGAGACACAACAGCCTGCTTCATTCACTGCTTGTGAGAGTCAGAGTGCAAGGGAACCCAGTGGACAAATGTGCTAATTGGGCTTCTCCTCCGGGACATTGGCCAGGTCACGTAATTAGGTCTGGCACGAATGCCAATGACTCCGTGGCCACCCACTTTGGATTTCTTGCTCTGGTGGCACAGTCTAGGAGTTCCCTTGTGGAGTAGGCTTAGCATCAGAGCTAAGTGGGTGCCTGGCCTCACCCAAGTTCTGGTGGAGTCGGAGTTATACTCTTGCTGGTGGCATGGGAGACAGCCACACAGATGGCTTTGCAAGGACTGGATCTCTAGACTTCTTCCTGCAGCTGATGCCATGACTGTTCTATTGGCTCCTTCTCTCACCAAGCTACCCTCCACCTGTCCCCACCTTTCTCTGTGCCTGCGAGGCTGACCCTATGGAGTGCACCAGTGGCTTCCTTGCTCCTGGTTTCCCAGGGGTTTGGCCAGTGGAGGACATTGGCAGGAGATGGGGTGGGGCAGGCGAAAGGTGGAGGTATTTATCCTACTGGTTCCCTTGGTGCTGCAGCATGATCCTGTCCCTCTAGGGCCCCCCTCTTGCTGGGTCAGTGATACCGTTTCCTCTATGTGGCCTTCGGGCCTAGGGGTGGCCATAGCCTTTTAGTGCTGCTGGCCCCTCTGTGCCTCATCAGCCCCCCTTGTCCTCTTAATCCTGCATGCACTCCTATGAGCCGTCTCTTTGAAAATTCTCCTCATTTAAACCCCTTTCAATATACCACTCATTTTCTGCTGGCACTCTGACTGTGAGAAGGGGGGCTGCACGTGATCATGTCCTCTCAAGTATTTATTTCCTCCCCCAGCCACTTGGTCACTTTCCTGGACATGTGGTAATTTCTGCTGCACCAGCACTCAAGGCATCTGATTTTCCTGCTTGTGTCCCTGCCCTGGCTGGTCAGTGCAGACGCTTGCTTTCAGGGCTGCTCTATAATTCAGCAAGTCACTCCTCAGGCCATCTGTGCCTAGCTCAGCGGTCTCTCCGGTCTAGTCCTGTCATCTCAGATTCCTGGTGCCCTAAATTTGCAGCCCAAGAGTGACATTCAGTTCTCTCTAGCTCCTTAAAAAGAATTCTGCTTTTCCTCAGCTCACGTCAGGCCCCTGAGTCTTGTGAATTAATAATGATACTACTAATAATACCATATGTGAACCTGGCATTTTGCGGTTTCCCTGAACACTGGCATGCATCCCCAGGTGGAGCCCACCAGAGGTGTTCCGCTCATGAGAACAGGGGACTGATGGCAGGTCAGAGGAAGAACCATGGTGGTAGCAATCAGTGCCAGGTGTCTGCTTCTGTGCTTTTCGTTTGTTACTACCTAGTTCTAGCAGGCCTGTGATGCCCTTGTCTGCGGTCACTGAGGCTCAGAGAGATGGAATAAGGTGCCTAAGGTCACACAGTAGGGGTGGAGTCTTGAGAAGGCCATGCTCCACGTGGGTATGGAAGAAGGGAGAAGCTGTAACATGGAGCCGAGGTCTTTAGCCTTTTATCGGGAGAGCAGTGTCGTCATGCTGTGTTTACTTGTGGGTAGGTGAGGAACACTCCTGCTGTGTCCCTATCAGATTTGTTTTGGCCAGTCTGTTCCGTGAGAGTGAACAGAGAAACCATGATCCCACTACCTTAGAGGGTCATCAGTCCAGAGGGCTGGGACTGCCAAGAGGCCCCGGGACATGGTGTTTATGTTTCCATTCCTAGTTCCTCGGCTTGGAGGGTTGCTGTGCTTATTCCCTGGAGAGGGCCTGACCCGGAAGCCAGCACCAGGTCCCAGAGCCCACCCCTCCACAGTGGGGAAAGGAGAGCGCTCTGGCTTCTGTGCTTGTCCTTGGGGAGCTTGGAGCCTCCCAGCTGCCTGGGGAGCCCAGGATGTGTGCCAGACAAGGGCAAGGCCCTTTTGGGTCTTGTAAAGGTCAGCTCACCATCTGGTCTTCCCCGCGGTGGGACTATGGTATCACTCTTGCCAGAAACCACTGTCTCGGGGAGCCCCCGGCCCCAGGAGGCCTCCCTGGAAGGACAAGAAATGTGACCTTCACCCACTTCTCTAGGCTCCAGTTCTTGTCTGATCTCATCAGATCTGAGTGTCTAAATAAATGGTGGTGAGCAGAGGTGCAAAATAGCCCCAATAAAATCCAAGTCATTTCTACTCCTCATATTGTCAGAGCTACCCAGCCAGACTCCATGGCCCTGCCTCCTTGCTTTGCCTTTCTGCACGCCTGTGGCTCTGTGTCTCTGCCTGTCCATCTTCCTTGCATTTCCCACAGCCATCTCCATCTCAGCCCAGACCTTCCTCTGAAGCCCGAGACCTGTAGCAGATAGCTGCCTTGCAGACGACTTCAAGTTGCCAGCTCTTCACCGAAGCAGCGTATCAGTGGGATCAAGACTCCTTGGGACTTGGATTGGTTTTTGGTCAGGAGTCATGTCGGTCCTGGCCTGGCTTCTGGCTTGCTTTGTATTTCCATGGGGGCTGGGCCTGCAGGGATGTGGGCTCCTGGCACTGTGCGGCCCCTGCCTGTTGAGCCTTGTGAGCCTGTCACCAGCCCCCAGGCTCCCCAACCTGCAGTCTTGCCAGCTGAGCACACAGGAATGCTTACGGGCAAAAGTGTCGCCCAGAGCATCTCAGCAGTTTCGGGTTGGCCAAGCAGCTTCCCTAGCCTCCGGGAATGTTCTGTCCTGTACGCATGTATGTATGTATGTATTATTTTTTTTAATTTTTTTTATTGGAGTTCAATTTGCTAACATATAGCATAACACTCAGTGCTCATCCCATCAAGTGCCCCCCTCAGTGCCCATCACCCAGTCACCCCAACCCTCCACCCACCTCCCTTTCCACTACCCTTTGTTCATTTCCCAGTTTTAGGTATCTCTCATGTTTTTCACCCTCACTGATATTTTCACTCATTTTCTCTCCTTTCCCTTTATTCCCTTTCACTAATTCTTATATTCCCCAAATGAATGAGATCATATAATGTTTGTCCTTCTCCGATTGACTTACTTCACTCAGCATAATACCCTCCAGTTCCACCCTCGTCAAAGCAAATGGTGGGTATTTGTTGTTTCTAATGGCTGAGGAATATTCCATTGTATACATAGACCACAGCTTCTTTATCCATTCATCTTTCGATGGGCACTGAGGCTCCTTCCACAGTTTGGCTATTGTGGACATGGCTGCTATAAACATCGGGGTGCAGGTGTTCTGGCGTTTCACTGCATCTGTATCTTTGGGGTAAATCCCTAACAGTGCAATTGCTGGGTCGTAGAGCAAGTCTATTTTTAATTCTTTGAGGAACCTCCACACAGTTTTCCAGAGTGGCTGCACCAGTTCACATTCCCACCAACAGTGTAAGAGGGTTCCCTTTTCTCCGCATCCTCTCCAACATTTGTGGTTTCCTGCCTTGTTAATTTTCCCCATTCTCACTGGTGTGAGGTGGTATCTCATTGTGGTTTTGATTTGTATTTCCCTGATGTCCAGTGATGTGGAGCATTTTCTCATGTGCTTGTTGGCCATGTCTATGTCTTCCTCTGTGAGATTTATCTTCATGTCTTTTGCCCATTTCATGATTGGATTGTTTGTTTCTTTGCTGCTGAGTTTAATAAGTTCTTTTTTTTTTGAGTTTAATAAGTTCTTTATAGATCTTGGATACTAGCCCTTTATCTGATATGTCATTTGCAAATACCTTCTCCCATTCTGTAGATTGTCTTTTAGTTTTGTGGACTGTTTCTTTTGCTGTGCAGAAACTTTTTATCTTGATGAAGTCCCGATAATTCATTTTTGCTTTTGTTTCTCTTGCCTTCATGATGTATCTTGCAAGAAGTTGCTGTGGCCAAGTTCAAAAAGGCTGTTGCCTGTGTTCTCCTTTAGGATTTTGATGGAATCTTGTGTCACATTTAGATCTTTCATCCATTGTATTTATTTTTAAGCTTGTGAGAGCATCTGTCCACCGGTGTCTATAGTATGAGTCTGGCTTATCTGTTCACCAGCCAGACTTAGGAGTATGTCCTTGCATGTCCAAAGCTGACAGGTACGCTGGGAGGCAGAGGGATGCAGCCCTGAGATGCCGTTGTGCCGAGGAGCCCAGCAAAAGGCCCGGGCGTGCTCTTGGCATGGGGAGGCTACCCTTTGGAGTGACGTCCATGCCCTACATTCCCGGGTGCCATCAGAGCAAGGCAGTGAGAAGGGAGAGGCTGTGCTCCATGGCATACAGTGGCCACTACAGAAACTGCCCCTCTCTCTAGGGCCCTTCCCATGGGGGAGAAAAAGGGAGGCTCCCTGTGGCAGTCCCCCTGACCTGAGGTCACCAGTTGGGTGACTCTGGGCAAATCACATCCCCTCCTTCATTGGGCTAGATGACCCCTGAGCCCCGGCATCTGAGGAGCCCGTCTCCTGGGTAACAGTGGCTGGTAGAGCAGGCCTTGATGGCCACAAGCCTACCCTTGGGAGCCAGACCTCGAAGCTCTGAATCCCAGCTCTGCCTCTCACTGGCTGCATGGCCTCAGGCAAGTCCTGTCACCTCTCTGGGCCTCGGTCTCCTCACCTGTGAAATGGGGATCGTAGTAGTACCTGCCTCAGAGTGTTGTTGTGAGGATTGAGTTGATAGTGGAAACCATTTTCAGTGTGTTCTGCACTGAGTGAGCACCAATGGTTAGCTGATCCCACTTTTCTTATCTGGTGAAACGAGAACCTGCGCAGCCTGAGAGCCCTTGGAGGGACCTTTTCCCACCTAAAACCTGACCTCAGCCACCTGCTTCAGGCATCTGAGAGTGTGAGGGCTCTGGGTCTGGGCCTTTCTCTACTGTCTCCCTAGATGTGTGTTTCATTACGTGGTGCCTGGCACCCTGCAGATCACGTTCTGGCTGCTGAGTGAATCCACGTTTCTGCACCATGGAAACCTCATGTTTGGGAGTCACTCGAGTCCGTGGACCCTGCCTCACCCTCAGCAGGGCTATGTGGTCTCACCTGAGGGGTGTCCTGTGGTTCCCGACCCAGCCCCCTCCCAGCTCGTGTGGAAACACCATCCCCCAGGTGTAGCCCCAGGACAGAAGTTGAAGCATGTTCTGTGACCACTGATACGTGCAGCTGTGATGCCTTGCCTTCAATTAATCTATCAAATTAGCAGGAGGTACCAGAGATGAGCCCCACCTGGATTGGGAGGCAGAGTATAGAGTAGGGGTCTAGACAGGAGACCAGTGCCTGAGGGTGCCCGAGAGTGGGGCTGCACTACACCCCCCACCACGGAGGAATGGGCACATGTAGACAGGACACAGGGAAGGCATCAGGATGGGGTTCTGGAGACTAAGCAGCCTCTTACATTTCCCTTCTTTGCCTGTGACTGCCCTGGCAGTCTGTCTCAGCTCCAGAGCTGTGTCCAACAAGCGTGAAATGCTGTGGGCAGGAGCCACCCCACGCAAGATCCCGCCACCCTTTTACTAGGTTGAGTTCGGTTGTGAAAGGACAGACGTTCATTCCAGTGGGCGCTCTGACAGGATGGGCAGTGACCCACAGCTGATGGGCAACACTGGCCTGCGGCTCCAGAGGCCCCAGGGGAGGTATGCACAGACTGCACACCAGCCGTCTGCCCCTCCGTCTCTGTGTGTGGTGCTCATATACATCTATCTTGCCTCAGACTCTCGGAAGGTCTTGGCCAGCCAGGACTGAAGCAGTGCCTGGGGCTCAAGGCCTTGGCCCCATATAAATGAATCTCACTCTGGGACATGCTGAATACAGATTCCCATGCCCTGATCCCAGGGGTTCTGGTGCACAGATCTGCAAGGGAGCCTGGGAATATGCATTTTAAACCCCCCCCCCCCCCCCCCGCCGCCCCGCCATCAACCTTGGTCAATCCCAGCACAGACTCTGAGAAACACTCATAGGGCCAGGCCGTGTCCTTCCCGGTTATCTTGATCATTGAAATGCAAGTGAGTTTTTGACTGACTTATTTGGATTTCATCATCACTTTTATTGCAGATACTTAGATGATGAGCACAGAAGCTTGTAGTCACAACAGTTAAAAACCTTTGAAAGAGGTCTTTTCTCTGGGCACTCATCATCCTGTTGAGGGGCTGGTGGCTGGCAGAGTCATGCCCTGAAGACTGAGTGTGGACAAAAAGCCTGCCTCCTGGATGCTGGCCAGCTGCCCAGAGTGCCCCTGCCTGGAGGCCCACAAATGGTGGCCCTCCCCACCCAGCCTTCACTCCCCTGAACCCACCTTGGACTCAGATCCAGAACACACACTGCTCTCTGCCTCATTGCCCCCATTTTACCTGGAAGGCAGCCCATGGCCCTGGCTTGGCCACTATATGAGGATGTTCCCATCCCAGTTTCCTCAACATATCAGGTCCCAGCTCCTTCATGCCCTGACCCAGGCCTGAGGTTCCTGCCACCCACCTGGGTCCCCAGAGGGAGCTGAAGGAGGCCTCAGCCTGCCATGTCTTTCCCAGCCCTGGTCACAGGACCCAGCCGTGGCACTTCCGAAGCACAGACCAGGGTGGGGTTGGGGTGTCATTTTATTCCATTCTCAGTTCCTCAAAGCCTGGTGGTTTGAGCTAATTTGTAGGGATGCCAAGTGGCATTAGACTCTGGGCCTGGAGGCTTGAAGAGTTCAGAGAAACTAGGACAGGGAAGGCCAACTGGTCTGTGGGAGAGGGGCATATCTCCATGGCAACTGTTACACATGCCACAGTGCCCGGGGAAGCAGTAGGTGCGTGCGCACGAGTCCAGCCCAGTATGGCAGGCGCAGAGCCACGTCTGGCTGCCTGGACACTCACCTTTGTACTGTGGAGTGAATTGCTTCATGGCCAGAGGCAGGGATTCGTAGAACCTCTGCTCCCGGAAGATGAGGGGCTTGCATACCGTGTGCTCATCGTACTTCATCACGCTCAGATGCCCTCCGACCTGGTGCAGGAAGGGCTCTAGCCGCACGCCCACCCTGGCATCCCCAGCATCCGTGCTGTCCTGCACAACCATGTATCCACAGGAAGAAGGTCTGGGGTAGAAGAGGCAGTTCCCGGACAGGAGGCAAGGCCGTCAGTGGTCCTCAGCTTTCTCCTTCTTGGCCTTTGTCACTGTCATAGCACAGCTGTCCTTCTGTCTGTGGGCCCCTGGAAAGCAGAGGAGGAAGGTGGAAATGGTGTGAGGGAGATGTTGTGCTGAGAGGAACAGAAGGACCTACAGTTCCCAGCCACGACCCACCAGTAGTTGAATGAGACTCGAAAGAGGCATCTGTCACTTCTAGAATAATCTGTCCTAGGAAACTGGTAACCATGATTGCCTCCAGGAAGCCAGGATGAGAGGTAGACTTCTCTAAATACTGTTCTGTGCCCTTTGAATTTAAATATTAAAACATTTTCTAAAAAAATCAAGCAGTACACATAACCGTAGGCATCCAGAGTACACAGATTGTCTTAACTCCTCATGTTGTGTTTCCTGCCTGCCTTAGGGAGTATTGGTCACAGGCCCAAGAAGAGAGCAGAGTCCCTGCTATCCAGGCACTCAGCCTCTTGCAAGGGCTTCGGGGGTACAGGAAAGCTTCATTTTTGTACAGCACAGCTGTGCATGTCAATCTACATCATGGCTTCACGACAGAATTGCTGTGTAACTTTGAGAAGTGACCAAACCTCTGCGCCTCTGTTTCCCCATCTGTAGAATGAAATAATAAGGATACTTCATGGACTTAGGACAAAATTAAGATAAAGACTGTGAAAAGGTTAGCTGAGGGCCCAGAGCTAAGTACTCCATAAATGTAATTTATCATTGTTATTTCTAGCATTATTGCCATGGTAGTTATATCTTCCCAACAGCTCTGGGTTGAAAGGAAGGCAGACTTTCTCACTGCTGCTTTGCACATGAGGGAAGCAAGGTCTGAAATGCCTTGACCAGGCCCTGGTTCGGGCCAGGAGCGAGGCAGGAGGAAAGTGGAGGCTGCTTGTCTCTGGGCCTTATTCTCTGCTACCTGCCAGAGCTCCCCCTCCTCCCTAAGGGCAGGCTTGCTGGAACTTGGGGCTGGAAATGCAGCCCCGAAAGACATCCTGACTTCGTCTCAGGAGAGTGCCAAGGAGACAGTGTGAGGGGAGGCTCTTCTGGCCACATTTGTCCTGTCCTGTTTGAGAGGACATTCCTACAGGGGTGCCCATCACTGCCGAGTTATTAATACTCTCTCCTCTGTTGGACTCCCAGCCAAGATGCCTCCAAGCTAGGCAGCACTGGACATGATTAATGCCCTGAATGACCTTCAGTCCAGACCGTCGACATGGCTAGCTGGCTCCATGCATGGAGTGCCTATCAATTTGTTCAGGACCCCAGCTCAGAGAGCTTCCTGCCACCCACCTGTACCTCTGGCACCAAGTGGCTGAAAGCCTCAGCCTGGCCCATTTATTACCCCCTCACCCCCTAGGGGTGTCTCTCTCTTTCTCTCTCTCTCTTTCTCACATTAGCTACTGTCTTTTGGGCCACAGAGTGCCTGCCCCTTTAGGAAGGGAGAGGTGTTTTGCCTGGTATGTGCGTTTGCTTTGCTGGATGTAGGATGAGGCTTCTAAGAGCTGCCTGTATGGCTGGAGCATGATGGGGGAGGTTAGGGTGGCTGGGCCAGGTATCAGGGGTTCAGGGAGCCTGAGGCCTGATGATAAGGGGCTGTGCTGACACCACAGCCTAGGCCTTACCCTGGGTCTGCTCTCAGACTGTAAAGAAGGAGCCCCACTTGAGCCTGTTCCACGAGCTAAGAAGCCAGTAGGAGGCATCTCGATGCAGACGCAAATCAGAAATTGGCTCAGGGATAAGTTGATATATGACAAGATAGCACAATTGCTTGGCAAACCCAGCCCTACTTGCAAATTTGGTGAAGGCAAGAAAGAAGAAAGAAGAGAGAACCAAGGTGGCCCAACACCAACCAACCCGGCCTGGCCTTGCCAAGGCAGCCCAGCTGTGCCGATGTGTCCAGGTGGTATCCCAGGCGAGCCCTCATGCTCCCATGCCAGCAGCCCACCACCCTCCCTCCCCACACTCCTCTCTCCCTAAGGAGCCCTGAGGGAATCAGTGTCACCTTGCAGTGGTGGTGTGGGAGAGGAAATAGCAATAAATGGTAATAAAGTCAGAGAGCTTGCTGGGTGCCAGGCAATGTTCTAGGTGTGTTGTATAGATCAACTCCTTTAAGCTTCACAACTACCCCATGAGGTAGTATTATCAGCCTGTTTCAGAGATTGGGAAAACGAGAGGTTACATAAGTTGCTTATGTGCACCCCGCCAGTAAGGAGGGAGCAGGGATTTGAACCCAGACACTTGTGCCCCATAGCGCACTTACCCACCATGCAGCAGGGTGGTTGAGGGCTACTGTGTATCCACTTTGAAAGTCAGAAAATTGACCCCAAGGAGACTGGAACTTGGCCAAAGTCACCTGTAAGTCACTGGCTCTGCTGGGACAGGACACAGGTTTCCTTGTCCCCCAGGCCTGTCTCTCCTCCAACCTGATGGAGTAAGTGCATGTCCCAGTGGTGGGTGGGCTCCGCACCTCTACAGAAACTATCATGGCAGGTCAATGCAGAGCTGGGGCTTGGTGTTGACCTTTTTGGGACTCTTTGGCTAGGGGTTTCAACAAGACCTAACCCTAACCCTAACCCTAACCCCTAACCCTAACCCTAACCCTAACCCTAACCCTAACCCTAACCAAGAGGCACTGTCATTCCCAGATGTTCTCAGGAGCCCTGCCTGAACCTTCTTAGAGAGCAGAGAGCAAGCCAGGGGCATCCAAGCAACCAATGGCACAACAGTGCAAACTTAGGGTGAGTTGATAGTCATGGGGTATCTGTTGGGTAGTCAGCCTATACTTCTAAAACTCTAGATTTGGGGCACCTGCCTGGCTCAGTCAGTAGAGCATGTGACTCGATCTTGGGATTCTGTGTTTGAGCCTCGTGTTAGACATAGAGCTTATTTAAAAAAAATGTTTTAAAAAAAATCTAGACTCAACAGGTAGGGAAACTGGGGCTCTTCCTCTCACGGGTCATCTGAAGGTATAGGTGAAGCTATATCTGAGGGTCCTCCTACTCCTGAGCTGTATGGTTCTGACACAGGTTGGTGGGAAGGGGCAGAGGAGGATTAGGGCGGTGGCCTCAGCCCCTGAGCTAGGCAGGTGGATTTGCTGCTGCTCAGGGAGGCACTCTGTGGCTTCCCATTGGCACTAATGCTGACCTTCCATTCCCGAGGAAGCTTGAGGTTGTTCTCTGTCACCATCTTTGTTGTGCAACCTCCCATTCTCTGGGAATGAGTTAGGGAAGACCTCCATTCTTCCCAGTCCTCCCTCAGAAGTCCCAAGTAAATAATTCAAGCTGACAGGTCTTTCTCAACCCAGACCTTCCCTTTGCTACATGCAGGTACGTCTGTTATATGCATGGGCCGTGGCCTTTGATCAGTGCTCTGTTTCCTCAGAGCACTGTGCAGGGAGTCAGGAGCCCAGGTCTGTTGCAGGCATTCCCACTAGCCTCATGAGGCCCCTAGGATGAACTCCTAATGTTCATCTGAGTCTTGATTTCCCACCCACTGCCATAGCCTTGTCATGATACTCAGATGACAAAATGCACAGAATTCCTTTGTGAAGTCCTCTTCCCAAGTGTCTCTGCCACCCGAGGCTTGTCACTGCGTGGGTTATTCTCAGGACTGACTCAGCTCGGGTGCTGGGAGGCAGGTGAGGCACCCGCTTGAGACAGGACCTTCCGCTCCCTCTGACACACTCACTGAGTACACTGGGCTCCCTTCAGTGTGTCAGAGGGAGACAAATGTCCTTTCTCCAGCCCACACTTCCCCCTGTAGCCCCACAGCCGGCCCCTCACCCAGCATCCCACCCTAGTGTTCTTGGGGAGGGAGAAATAGGAGACAGGGAGGGAGGGTGGGCAGGGAGGGAGATGCCTCGAGCCAGAAGAGTTCAGCTGAGAGCCCCCTCCCCAGGAGTAGTGAACAAATGACCTCAGGTCCCTGTGTCCTCTTCTGTCACTGGGTTGTGTCCTGAATGAAAAACTCTGGGCTCACTCCAGGAGACTCAAGGGCTAAAATCCCTGATGGGCCCCACTGTCCAGCTGGTGATTAAATGAACCCCTCCTCCCCCGCCCCGCCGTGGGGCTGCCTCAGTCATTGCAGCCCCTTGGGACCTGAGTGACAGCCAGCCAGCCACAGGGTTGCAGGACACTCCCTAGACTGAAAGGAGGGTCATGGACAGCAGGGCCTGGGTTTGTATTTGGCTTCCAGAGTGGGGACAGATGACAATACCAGTGATGCCAGACACAGGGACAGAGGCCACCAGCAGGCTGAGGGGAATGAGTGCCCCGTGGCTCATCACTACCAGTTGGCACATTTTATTTCCTGAGAGTCTGTGTATATAATCTCTGCTGCATGCTAAACCCGGGCTCATTAAAAATTACAGAAGCTCTGCCCCTTTTTAAGCCTGCCGTTCCCATTGTAGGGAAGATGGCAGGCAAGACCACAAATCAAACTTGTACCAGTTCAAACTTAGATGAAATTTGTCATGAACTGTATCTTATGAGAGCCTGTCAGCTCCTTATATCTGGAGACAAGCTGGCTGACTGTGGTCATTGTCAGCGCTGTTCACAAATAGTCTGCTTTTTTCCTGTGGGAATGTGGTATGATTGCGCTTCCCTTGCCCTTTGAAGGTAAGTGCAGCCACGTGATTTGCTTCTGCCGACATGATGTGCATGGTAGTGACAGATGTCATTTCCAGTGGGAACTTTAAGGGCAAGTCATTGCCCATGTCCTCTCTCTCTGGCCCACCTCGGAAGCACCATCACTCCCTGAGTGACTGACTATACATGTTGGATATGTAGCCTGACAGAGAAATACATCTCTGTGCTAGTAGGCCCCTGTGATTTGGGGGTGGTTTGTTATGCAGCACAGCCTCATGCTTCCTGACCAGTGCACCAGCTCACAGCCAGATTCCTATCATGGAGCCTGGAAGTGGAAAGTGACCTCACTTGAACCAGGCAGTCAGATACTTCATGCCCAAATATATCCTATATAATAGTAGCCTCTCCTATGAAGCATCTCCTGTGGATCACTGGCTTTATAGTCACTATCACCATTTCTGAAGAGAATCACTCTCAGGTGGGGAACCTGAGGGTCTGAGACGTTGAAGACCTTGTGCACAGTTAGAGGAGGTACTGAGCACTCTAGCTGGGATTCAAGACTGTCTACTCTAAAGGCCTCAGGGCTGGGATCCTGTCTGAGGCCTCTTCATGCTGTGTGCCTCAGTGGCCTACATCAGACATGAGAGCCTTCCAGGAGCTCATACCCAGCTGGGCGGTGCACTGCTGGTGGACAGGGTCTGATGGGGCACTCGGCACTGTGGATTTGCTGGGCCAGGGGCAAAGGGCTGCTGCCTGAGGGACGGTCTAGAGCCTCCCAAAGCCACACCGCCACAAGCATCATCTTTAGACCAGAACAGTTATACTCTTGGAGCATGATAACCTCTCAAATGTATATGAACACTTTGGAGATTACCAAAATACAGATTCATTTAAAGGCACTATTTGAGTTCCTAGTAGTTTTTATCATCATCCATTTTCTCAATCAGTGGATACTAAAAGTATAATGAGTATCGCAGGAGGACTCGTAGGGAACAAATTATGTTGAAATGGAGTCCTAGTTGAAAAGGTTTAGGAGAGGTACTGCTGTCATCTGTGACAGGCATGGTGTCACACTTCCAGGATAGGGTCTGAGCAGGGGGAGATGCCAGCTGTGCCTGGGTCTGGGGGAGGCTGGAAAGGGCCTGTCTCAGGAGAAGAGGGGACGCAGGAAGCAATAGGGAAGTGGCCAGGGCTGGCCAAGAGACCAGAGGGAGGACTGTGAGTGGCAGTAACCCTGGCTTACTTTACTTGCTGGCCTAGAGGGGTGGAGAGAAGGCCTGGCCACCCAGACCGGGAGAGCGTCTGTCTGGTCTTGCTCAGGGCAAGGAGGAGGGGGTTGCCTGAGAAGGTGAGGTGAGGAAGCCTTCAGGATTGCATTCCAATAAATCTGGCGGGGCAGGAAGTGTTTTGGGAAGAGATAATTAAGAAACAGCTTGGGGCAGCCCCGGTGGCGTGGCGGTGCAGGGGTTTAGCGCCGCCTGCAGCCTGGGGTGTGATCCTGGAGACTGGGGATCAAGTCCCACATCAGGCTCCCTGCATGGAGCCTGCTTCTCCCTCTCCCTGTGTCTCTGCCTCTCTCTTCGCTCTCTCTGAATGAATAAATAAATAAATAAATCTTTTAAAAAAGAAAGAAAGAAACAGCTTGTATCAAAAGAAGACTGCAGTATAAGATGTGTCAGGCTGCAGATTCCAAAGCAGCATGGTTTATGGCCTGCCCTCTCTACTCTGAAGCTCTACTGTACATTTCGTAGGCCTGCTGGAGCCAGAGATTTGATACCAGTACCGTTCAATGTCTTTGTGATGCCCGAGGGAGCATTTTTTAATCTATTAGAGAAAAGAGGACCTGAAAACCATTTAAAACTGCTTAGGTTGTAATGGGCAAGAGGATTTTGAGTTTCTCATGTGGCAGAGGGTTGTGTATCATCTGGGGCCATCCAGGCTGGGAAAGCACAAGATTATTTTCCGGAGGGAAAAAGCCATGTTTTAAAATCCACTCTAAAAATGACTCAAGGGCTGTAAGATGGCGTGCCCTCCATCTGTGTGGTCCTCTACCCAATGGGATCAATACCGAACACTGGGGGACTTCACACATCACCTTCTCAGCCATGGCTGAAATATGTGGCTTTGCAGAGCATCTGTTCCCCAGGGAAGGCCTGATAGCCAGAACCACAGAGAAATGCTTCATATTCCTCTGTCACACAAACTTATTTCAGGGCTGATTTTATCCTTTGAGAGAAGTTTTTTTCCTCTCCTTTTCCTTTAACATTTAAAATCTCCCAATGTTCCTCCAGTTTGAGGACCAAATGCGATTTAAATACAGCGATTATTAGTTTAGAAGCCCTTCAGCCACTGACAAATGTCCTTAGCAGCGGCAACAGCAATGTTCTGAGCTTGCTGTCAGGGCGGGAGACGCATGGGGCAAAGATGACTCAAGAATCCCAGTGCCACTGGAAGGGCTACTCCGGGGGTGGCTAAGGCTGGAGGCTTCTTCCTCCCTCACCCCTACGGTATCTTAACCTCGTGACAGCATCATGGGCCCTCGGGTACCGTGGACATGGTTACTGATGACTCTAGCAGCATTCCCTAATTCCTTTAGGACCTGACCCACTAGAAGCTGCATCTGGGATCTTGGAGGCTGCTTACCACCCAGACAGGCACATTTCCCAACCTCCGACACCCTTCCCCAGGCCTCTACACCTTTCTCTAAGTACTGTGATCAGCAGCCACCTGCCTTACATAAGAAGCCTTTGAGCTAGACAGGAGGTTTTGTCAGTGGTTAGCATGGCAACTTTATGGCTGCAAGAAGAAACGTCCTTTTAAGGTTAAAACGTAACAATGGGTGGAGCAAGCGTGTGAGCGTGCAGACGAATGTGTAAGTGCATGTGTGCGTGAGAGTGGGAGGTCCTGATGCTGCAAGACCACCGGGTGGAACTGGCCCACTCCCCGGAGCCAGCCTGTTCAGGGAGAGCGCGAGCGGGCCTTTCCCCAGCAGAGGGCAGCAGCAGACATGCCAGCCCAAACTCCACAGCCGGCCCACCGGCCCTGGCCCTCTGCCAGGTCACACATTCCGGACCTGGACTTGCTGGGCCTGTCCTCAGAGAGCCCAGAACGGGCAGTTTTTCAAGAGCTCAGGAGTTACTTTCAAGGTCGATGTCCCTCCACGTTCCGGTCTCCTCTCACTTCACCCTACTTTTTCTCAGGGGTGTCTGGTTGCAGGGGAGCTTCCTGCCCTTGATGAGACGTGTTCTGAGGAGTGGGGTGCCTGGCTCCATTCAGAGGGCGAGGGACCCCAAAGCTGGTGATATGGCTTGCCAAAGAGGGGATAGGGCGTAGGAGCTGGAGGGCATATCCCAGCTGAGAGGAACGTGGTCCTCAGCAGCACCCTGGGAGGGTCCCAGGGGCCTCAGGCCCTTTGCAGTGGAGGAGCTTCTCAGATCCTCGATAAGGAGCTGGCTTTGGGGAGTACAGCACAGGAAGGGACTAGGAGACCTGGCCCTGCCTCAGATTCCCTGTCCCTTTCTTTCTGGGCCTCAGTTGCTTGTTCTATACTGAGAGGTGTCTGACTCAGCCAGATTCTCACTCCTGTGGGATGACTGGCCCTTTCATTTAGCAGGTCAGTGTGGTGATGGGTAGGCGGGGCGGGGGTGGGGGGTTGGCAGAGACACTTTCAGATTGGGGACTTAAAAGACATACAGACCCACATACCTTGATTGTATCCTGGTCCAAACAAAGCAATAAAAAACACCCAGGGGGCCATCGGGGAAATATGAATATGAACTCCACGTGGACATTCTTCGGGAGGTGTTCATTTTGTCAGTGGGATAATGGCCATCGGGGTGTGTAAGTACCTCCTGAGGTACTTCAGGGGGAATGCTCTGATGTCCAAAAATTGCTTCAAGTACTTTATCCTTAGGGTAGTCAATGAAGCAGGTATGGTAAAGGTCACACAACCATGTAAATCCTGGGGTAGGATATGCAAGAGTTCATATATATCATTCCCCCTGCTGCTTCCTGTAGGCTTAAAGTTTTTCATGGTAAAAAGGTTAAATTATAAACTGGTAGCTTTAAAAATCTGTAGAAACCTGGGCCCTGCCCCAGGGGATCCGAATCTCTGGAGGGGGAACCTGGGATGGATGTTTTTAGATCCCCTGGAGGTCCTGAGGACCATGACAGGCTCAGACAGGTTCAGGTCTCAGATTTACTGAGGTCAAGAAGAGTCCATGGGGAGGGGCTCCCCAAAACTGTGCCACCACCTCAGGCAGGGGCCCTCGGTAGTGCCTGCGGTCAACCCGCACTCCACAGGGGCACCCGATACCCAGGCCATAGGCCCACTGCCCACAGGCTGAGGTCATCCTGGCTTCGTGCACCCCTCCCCCGCCATGGAGGGTGGGGCTGCCAGGACAGGACACACTGTCCCTGGAGCCCAGGGGGTGCTGCCTGCTTCTCCCCAGACAGCTGCCTCTGTGAAGGGTTAAACGGTGGGAATCATTGGCTCCCACCCCTGTACCTGCCACCCAGCTTCCTCTGCAGGCCCAGCTTGCGGAACCCACCCTGCCTACATGCAGGAGCCCAGGTTAAAGACTCCTGGACAGCCTAGGAAGGCTGGGATGAGTGACTCTAAGGGCAGGCCACAGAGATGAGAGACAAGCAAACAACAGAATTTCTGCTACTGAGCCAACCCAGCAGCACCCCCACATACACAGATGTATAGACGCACATAAATAAGCAGGCTGGCACCTCCATGGGGTAGACTGTTGGGGGTGGGGGTCTGTCCTGTCCTAGGTGGACCCTCACTCCCACACCGCCAAGGGCTCCACGAGGCCCTCCCCACCCTATCCACCGAGGCAGCACTCACCAGGGCCTCCTTCCTGGAAGCACAGCAGGGAGTGTGTAGAAGAGAAGGTCCAGTGGAAAGGAATCTCCTTCGGTGGCTGCCGACTGCTGGCCCTGAGCAGAGGCCCTTCCCAGCGCCCCAGCACAGAGAGCTCACTGTCTACTACGGCGCTGATGGAGAGGTCTGCTTAGACCCAGGTCCGCCCAGCGGGCCTGGGACGGGAGGTCACCTGACCCTTGGGAAGGGCTGGCAGGGGCTGATGAGTCCAGCTGTCAGCTGGTGTATGGCTGCTCCGAGCAGGGGAGCAGGGCCTGCGGCCTAGGAGGGCATGTGAATGAGGAGGAGGAAGAGGAGGAGAGGCCTGAGAGGCAGAAGCCTTATGCTCTGCTGGTTGGAGGTCAGGCCCTGTGCACCAGGGCCAATTGCATGAGGTACCCAGTGGTTTTTTTATTCCTTGAGGTAAGGCTAGGCTAGGGAGTCTTTTTTCCCTCCCTTCACCCTCTTCCCCACAACTTTACTGTCAGCTTGCCCCAAGCTGTCACTCTGGCGAGAGGGAAATCAGGCAGGAAAACAGCAAGCCAGTCAGCACTCAATCAGCTTGAAAACAATCAGTCAAATAGTTTTTGAGGCCTTTGCTGGGCTGCCCCAGGAACCTGCCAGACCAGGGACTGTTGTCAGGAGATCACAGAGCAGGTGTTGGAAAGGGTGTTCAGCAGGTTGAAGGGCAATTCCAGTGTATTTGGTATGTGAACATGGAGCTTAGGGGGGGCCCCTTGCCCAGGCTGGGGGGAGCAGGGAAGGCATCCTGGGGGAAGTAACCATTGGATAAATAGGATCATCCAGGTTGGGGTGGAGAGGGTGGTGGGAAGAGCATGCTCGCTAAGGGAAGAGCACATGCAAAAGCCCAGAGGCAGCGGGGAACAGGGTGATCTGGCAGGTGGAGGCTTTTGGAGCATGCAGGATGTGGGGAGTGATGACAGATGAGGCTGGGGTGGGGGAAGTGCACCTCACAGGTCTCTAACCTTGGCTTCTCAGGAGAAACTGAAGGGCATTACATCAGGAAGGGCCAGGCCCAGGTTGGGGTTTTGAGCAGAGTGGATGCTTTGAGGAGAGTAGGTGAGGGAGGCATGATCAAAAATGGGCAGGCAGGTTACGAGGCTGCCAGGTTCTGTTCTCCAGCTGAGTTCAGCCTGGTGGGGAGAGGAGGCAGTGAGGTGGAAGGGAGTGGGTGAGTTCCTGAGATGTTCAGGAGGCAGGCTTGACAAGGCCTAGTGATGTGAGATGGGGAGAGATGGGGTGTGGGAAAAGGACAGAGACTTGTCAGGGACAGGCTTCAGGTCTCAGCGACTCTGGGCCAAGTATTAGGTCTGAAGTTGGCCCTTCAGGCAACTCAAGCTACCCTGGGCTTCTGGCTGTAGTTCCCTCGGGCACTGTGTGCCCCACTTGCCTGGGGTGCTAGTCTGCCCCTTCCTGGGCTTCCCTGGCTGTGGACACTCAGCTCCTGCGGCTCAGCAGCAGCCAGGGGGCTCAGCCTCCTCTCTGGCCAGAGGCTCCTCCGAGGCCCCCTCAGGCCAACTTGCCTCTTGGTCTGGTCCAGCCTCTCTCTGACTCTGGGTCACAGCCCCCAGGTTTTTGCTTCCCTCAGGGTGCCCTCACCTGTCTCCTGGCTCTAACAGGGCTCCCCTAGATTTGTTGCTGCAGCACTGAGCCGTGATGGCTTTTCCATCCCCTCAACCCCCGTCTCCACATGTCCACGGAGGGCTCCTTCCTACGGTCTAGCCACCCTCACTGTTCACGCGCAGAACAGATGAGCCCAGAACAGATGAGCCCTGGGCTTGGATAAGGACCAAAATGGGAGACCAGGCAGGACTGGAACGCAGGCCTCCTGGCCCTTGTCCCAGAGGTCCCTCCGTCACTGTGCTGTGTGCTTTGCACCCTTCTGGGACCTCGCATATCACCAGCTGCCCAGCAGACGTGTTAGCAGCAAAGAACAGTGTCGTGGGAAGGCCACAGCAAGTTTGGGGGCTGCCCGTAGCTGCCCTTCCTGTGGCCAGCCTCCTTTCCAGTCCTCTCCACACCCAGCCAGGGCAGAGCCCTGCTGGCATGACAGGGATTCCTGGGCACCATGAGGCTGGGTGTAATGGGCTGAGCATCCATGGCCCTGCTCGCTCCCCAGGGCAGTGGATCACATTTCACTGGGGAAGGCAGATGGTCAGGCTGCCTTGCGAGCCTGCTGAGTACTTGGTTGCTCAGCTGCCCAGCTATGTGCTGGGCTCCGGTTACCTGGCCCTGGAAGAGACGGTGTGACCTCCTTTCCCCCCACCCCTCCCCCACGTCCCCTTTCCCACCTGCTGGACTCCTATCCCTGTTCTGGGAAACTCTGAATTAACATGGGTTGAGCTGTAGGCTCTTAAGGGTGGATAGGAAGGGACCTCCCACCTGAGCCATTTGGCCATTGCAGGACTGAACCCATGGCCTCAGGAGGGTGGGACCACATTCCAGTACTTGCTTTCTGGTTACGTTTTGTTGCTGTTGCAAAGAGCAAAGTTCCACACTGACTTCCTATCCCTCCCTTTATTTAACATCATTTTTGAGCCCCTACCGTGTGATCCAAGACATACAGCAATAAACAAAATGCACAGGGCCCTGTGGTCACAGAGCCAGTGATCTGGTGCTTTCCATCATGCAATCAAATGAGCCACTTTATTTCTGTTTCCCGACTATGGCCAAGTTCTCTTCATGGTTGTTTTTCCAAAGCTCAGCTTTACTTGCAACATAACCTGCAGCTAAGCCTTCTCCAGCCATGTCTGGGACCAGCTCTGCCCCATGACAACTCCCCGGCTCACCCTCTGGGCCTGATCCTGCCTCTCCTCTAGGAAGTCAGTCCTGACCCATGAGGCTCATCCCTGGACATGGCATTCCCAGCCAGCTCACGGATGCCATTTGAAGGCAGAAGATGCCTGGGCTTATAAGCACACAGCCACCTGTTTGGGGGCTGCCCTGCTCACTTAAGGCAAAGGGGTACTCCCTTTTCACCACCCCACCCACCCAGCTGACCTTTTATAGGACCACCCCCCTTGCCACATTCCCTGGCAGTTTATCCATCACTACATCCTGTGAATTTCAAGTCCCAAACTGGACTCCCTTCTCTCCATCTCTATGGCTACTACCCTGGCCCATCACGGTGTCATGGCTTCAGTGGCAGGGCTCCTCACAGTGTCCCCCCTTCTCATCACACCCTTGCTCCTACAATCCATCCTCCCCAGAGTGATGCTTTGAGACAACTCAGGTTATGTTGCTTACCTGCTGAATAATCTTCAGTGGCTCCCCATCCTTAGAATAAAGTCCAAAGCCCTCCCTGAGGCCCAGCCCTGCCCACCTTCCTAGCCCTATCTCCAGGGGCACCCCCTTGCCTTCTGTGGTCTAGCCACACTATGTGTGGATCCTTTGCACCTGCTGTCCCTTCTACCTAGGATGTCCTTCCCTCACCTCTCTGCCTGGTTAACTCCTCTACACACTTTAAAAGCTAGCTCAAATGTCACCTCCTCCAAGAAGCCCTCCCTGACCTCTCTGACATGGTCTGCTACCCAAGACCTTGCTTTAGAAGCACTTATCCCAGATATAGTCATGCTTTTACTTGTGTGATTATTTGCTCCCTGTGTGTTTTCCTTCCATGAGGGCAGCAACCTGGATTGTTTTGCTTAACATTGTGTCCCCAGCATGTAGCATAGTGCTGGCTTCCTGGTGCTCGTTTGGTGAATGAATGAACAAACATATGAACTCATTCTGGGTCTGCGACTTCCCATTCTGACCTCCTGATGCCCTGGCCTTCACAGCTGGGGGTGCGTGGGTCAGGAGCTGGTATCAGGGAGTTCTTTTTCTCTTCCTGGCCTCGGGCGTGGAGGCCCTGCCTGGTGACTGTGGCCTGTGACACCCTCCCTCTCCCCCCTCTACTGCCCCCATGACCCAGTTTTCCCGCTCTAGAGACGACAACAACAACATGTTCCAGGACATGTCATCACCCCCTGCTCATGGCATAAACATCGTGGCTGTGGTGACTGCTGCTAACCCACCCAGCCTCCAGCAGAAGCCCCTGATGCCCTGCGCTGGGCCTCTCCTGCTGCACCCCAACGTGGCACGCTGCCCTCCCCTGCCTGCTCCTCTTCTGCTCTGTGCAAGGAGCCCCATTTCATAGGCCAGGATGCTGAGGCTCAGAGAGGGGAAGCACCTTGATCTTGTGGTTCCCTCCACAATCTCTTTTCTTCCTCTTTTTCCTGCCTGTGGATTATTTCCTGTGCTGCCCTGGCTTTTTCTCTCACATTCTCTTGTCACCTTGTCTGTTTCTGTGGGTACTGCTGTTCTCACTCTGCTGTGCTCAGGCCACATGTGGGTGTGTGAGCACCTCGAGGAGATAGAGCACGTTGGGCTGAACAAATATGTCCTCATTAGGGGGCTTCTGGGGGTGTGTGCTCTGGGGAGGGCAGGGGTATGAGATTCTGCCCAGAGACTCGGGTGCTGGGGGACCTCACGCAGGCCCTGGGTACCTCTAAGGGAATCCTAGAGCAAGGCTGCAGGGGTGGAGCCCCTTGGCTTCCTCATGGTTGACGCAGTGATCTCACCTGCCCTCCAGCTGTCCAGAGCCTCCCTGGAGGCGGTTACCTGTGCCCTGTGGGGGTCAGCTGCCTCCTACATCAGCTGTCACCCCATTCCCTGGAAAGCCCAGGACAGAGCGACCTCACTGTGCAGCCCCCCGTAGTCTGTCCCAGGGGGCGTGAAGCCTGGTGTCTGGCTACTTGCAGAAGACGGAGTACATGCTGGCCTGACCCAGTGCCCAGCTCCTGGCCCCACCCGCGAACTTCTAGCCTGGGCATTGGGATCCCATCCCAGAGCCTGTTTGGACTCGTATTGGGCTCCCAAATGGCTGGTGAGCTAAGACCCCTCAGGGCAGAGTGGTGCAGGCCACGGCAATGCCAGCCAGGCACTAGAGGGTTAGGGTGCTGGCTCAGAGTTGTTGGGGGCTCTGAGGGAGCCAGAACAGCCACATGCAGGGTTATCATTCTGCAGGGGCAGCAAACATTCACATATTTGGTGGCCCCGTTTTTCTCTTCTGACAGACACATGTGCACGCACGCACACACACACACACAAACAACCTCA